TCGCTCCCTCTCTCTCTCTCTCTCTCTCTCTCTCTCATTCTTGATCCATTAGTATAACCCCATAAGATGTATGGAACTCAAAGCAAGATAGACTTGGCATTTGAATACCAAGCTCAGATACCCATTTTGAGACCAAGCATTCATGCCAGAAGGGCAAACATAACAGTAAAGTTTCAGGATCTTTATGGGTTCACAGTAGAGGGCAATGTTGATGATGTTAATGTACTGAATGAGGTGAGAGAGAAGGTGAGGCAACAGGGTAGGGTATGGTGGGCATTGGAAGCTAGCAAAGGTGCAAATTGGTATTTGCAGACTCACCTGTCATCAACTCTTACATCATCCCTCAAATTTTCAGCCCTAGTGAATGCAATTACTCTCAAGAGGCTAATTAGGAAAGGAATTCCTCCAGTTTTAAGGCCTAAGGTGTGGTTTTCTTTGTCTGGGGCTGCCAAGAAGAAATCAACTGTGCCGGAGAGCTATTACAATGATTTGATCAAGGCTGTTCAGGATAAGGTCACAGCTGCGACGAAGCAGATTGATCATGTGAGTTTTTGAGTTTTTGCATTTAATTGATTGTTTTGAGATATGAAGGATTAGATTGGATTTCTGATTATGGTTGGCATTGTGAATGATCATTTATGTACTGGATTTTGGTCAATTGTTTTGGATATGATGGTGATGGTATATCCATTTTTCACATCACTTTGATGTTTTTGTGATGGTGTTTTGCATATGGAGTTTAGTAGCTTATATAAATGATCCTTTTGGTTTTGATGCTGACTGAAATTTAAGGTGCATTGGTCAAATCGGGTTTTGCATTATTCGGCTCAAGAATATGGTTTTGATAATATTCTCTAATTGTGGAAATATCATTTTTCTGGCGGAGCACTCTTGTATTGATTATTTGCAACAAAAAAGCATTAATAAAATGCAACACTTGAATATCTACCACATATTATCAGATTTAAAACCATTGCTTACACCAAAATGGCTGCACTTTTCTTGAGGCATTGAGTAATTATTTGCTGGTGGTGGAATACCTTTGATTAAGTTGAGATGTTTACAAACGGTGAAAAATGCTAAAATCATCAAATTGCCAGTCTATAGAGCTGGGAGGTAAGATGACGATGGCAATAAATTTGAAATTATAACATATATCGCATGGTAGTATTTGGTTGCTTCAGCTGTTTGGCTAAGTTGTTTAGCAGTAGCAGCTAAGGATCATAGTAACTGTTTTTGTTCTTTGGCATTGCCTTCATTCAGAATATGTGCTGATTGATCATGTTAAGACTCAGGGGTAAGCTTGCTCTTACTGAATGTTGAGTTTACACTATACACTAGTGTACATATGCACTAAATATACCCATTCGTATCAAAAAGGAATGAACACACACACATCGTAGGATGACACAAAACAGAGAAGATGCCGTCTATTTTTCTTTCCACTGATTCAAACAAAGATCTGGATTCAGTTCACGTTTGATCTTTTATCCTTGGGTGTCTATTATGGGCAAAGAAGTCACAAACACACTCTACATACTTGGTATTTACATCAGGTGTGTCTAGATTATCTGGTATTTCTAGATCGTGAGCATGTCAATTTGATGTAGACATAAATTTGTTCATTTTTTTATATCTCCAGTGATGGGTGAGGAAGAAAGGGGGAGGGGGAATGACACAAGGATGAGGAGTTGCTACATATCGTGAAGATTTGGGTAAACATGCCAGTGACTCTTCTTAAATTTCTTGATGCAGACCCATAGTATCCCCATTGCTACATAAATGTAGCAGTCGCTTGGCAGGCTGATGTTTTAGATATCAGAAGTGAGAAGGAATAAATTTCTTTTTAGTGTGAAAGAATTCACTATAATGACTGTTGATTTCAAATTTCTCATATCTTCTAGCAGGATTTAGTTCTCAACAAGCTATGTGATGTCAGTGTTGGCCACTTGAGGAGAGAGACAATTGAGTGTAAAGTTTTGTATGTTGGGGGTTTGCATCCTTTCAGATTTTATGTTGCCTGTGTTTTGTTTAAGTTTCTTCAATTTTTTTATGCTAGCTGATATTGGTTTCTCTGAATAGCAAACTAAAAGTCTTTTTCCCCAAGATGTAGTTTAGCTAGGCCATTAATTCTACCATTTAATGTTTGGTTTTCTATTTTATTACATACAGGATCTGCCTCGAACCTTCCCTGGTCACCCATGGTTAGACACTCCAGAAGGTCATGCTGCCCTTCGGCGTGTTCTTGTAGGCTATTCTTTCCGTGATTGTGATGTTGGTTATTGTCAGGTGAGTTGATTCTCTTGTGATATTAGGCACTGCAAAAACAGTAATAGTATGTGCTTTTTGCCAGAAAGAGTTCTTTTGTATTCTTAAACTTTGTAATGGACCCTATCAAATTACTTTCCAAATTTTCTACGGGTCAATAACTTGTATGTGATTCAGCAGCAATGTCAACTGCTTAATACTTAGAGTGCGTCTGTTTTTAAGCATTCATATTAATTCTTTGGAGTTTACATCTTATATGCATAGAGTTCTTTCTCTCGATGAAGCAACTTCAAGAAATGATGTTCAAACCTTGGTAGAAAAGCTTGTAAATTGCATTATAGTGACGAGGATAATTTGGATGCAGGGTTTGAATTATGTAGCAGCATTATTGTTGCTTGTGATGAAAACAGAAGAAGATGCTTTTTGGATGCTAGCTGTGCTCTTGGAAAATGTCTTGGTCAATGATTGTTACACAAATAACTTATCAGGATGCCATGTTGAACAAAGGGTGTTTAAAGATCTGCTGACCAAAAAATGCCCAAGGTATTCGCCTTCGTGATGNTGGTCAATGATTGTTACACAAATAACTTATCAGGATGCCATGTTGAACAGAGGGTGTTTAAAGATCTGCTGACCAAAAAATGCCCAAGGTATTCGCCTTCGTGATGACATAGCTGATATGCTCGTCGCTTTTTCTGTGGGTTGTTTTCTAAAACTGGATAAAGAAAAATGCAGGGTAAACGCTCATTTAGAAGATTTGGAGTTTGATGTTTCTCTTGTTTGCACAGAGTGGTTTCTATGCCTCTTTTCCAAGAGCTTGCCTTCGGAGGTTAAAACGAATTTGTTTATAATCCTCTCTCTCTCTATCTCTCTCTCTCTCTCTAAATACACACACATGCACGCAACCTCCCCCCTTCCCGGGCCGAAATCTGGTTCTTTACTAATAATTTTCCATCTGTAAATTGCAACAGACGACCATGCGGGTGTGGGATGTTCTCTTCTATGAAGGGGCAAAGGTTCTATTTCATGTAGCTTTGGCCATTTTCAAGGTGATATTCTCATGTTTGCTTATTTAAGTTCTGTATGTGTCTTGAATATTCTCTCATCAAAGCAACTGAAAAACAGACTTTCAGAAGGTTTTACGTTGTTGTGGCTGATGATTGCAGATGAATGAAGAAGAGTTGCTTAAGGCACATCAGGTTGGGGATGTAATTAATATAATACACAGAACCACTCATCACCTCTTTGATCCGGATGAATTATTGCCGGTAACTTAAAAATCTCAGTCTGGCTCCAATTTCTTTGCCTCTTTCCATTCCCTCACCCCAGTTCCCTCAAAGTAAAATTATGTGATTGTATATGTTTAATGCATGTATATATATATATATAGGGGTAGGGACAATACCTTTGAACGAGTTTCAACCATCTTTCCTATAGCATTTTGTTCAGTCGTTTTTTGTTGTGTTTACTGGAAACTAGAAAACCTGTACTTTTCGTTACATGTAATAAGGTGTGTCAAATGCTATGAACAAGATAATTTTTTGGAAAGTGGCAAAATGACTTAATCTGCATATCCCTACTTGAAATGCATGCTGATTATTGCTTCTTTTCGGTTATCTTGCTGTCTGTTGGTTAGTGGTTCAATCAGCCAATTTCGAATTAAGCAGTTTAAAAGGTGCAGATACAAAATAATCCTTTAACTTATTGTTGCAGGTTGCTTTTGATAAGGTTGGCTCTATGACAACAACCAATATATCAAAGCAAAGGAAAAAGCAGGAACCGGCAGTCATGGCAGAGCTTGATCAGAGATTTAGACGGTTAAATTCCGTGAATGGGGATGACAAATAGGTGGCCTCTCTGGTAATATATATTTATATATATAAGTCAAATGTCCTTGTAGGGGCCTGCTGCCCCTTGGACCTCAATGTTGTGCTTTTTATATTTCTGAGAAGGAAAACCAAGTGGAACGCAGAAATAGTTCTCCAGGATGTAGATGTTGAATGTAATTCACAGAATAATTTGGGTTATTTTTGTATGCAAATGCCCTGTAATTTAAGTTTTTTTTTTGTTGATTTCTTACCAGAGTTGTTCATGGGCTTTATTTCCCTATTAGTATTTCTGAATCTTCTACTGTCACCTGAAGCATTTCGTATTATGGCCCCCACTGAAGAATGCTATTTTGAGTTAAAAATAGGTGTAGATGTAGACTATAAGACGATCACAAAATGGCTTCGTTCTTCTTCTTCTTTATCGTCTTCAGGGTCATGTTTGCATTGTTATCAGATGTAAGATAAATAAACTTTGAACGTCTTTGTCAACTCTAATAACTGCCTATTCAGCTTGTTCTGAACCACTCTGGCTTGAACAAGTTTACCTTAAATCCTAAAATTNGCTGTAAGATAAATAAACTTTGAACGTCTTTGTCAACTCTAATAACTGCCTATTTCAGCTTGTTCTGAACCACTCTGGCTTGAACAAGTTTACCTTAAATCCTAAAATTNTTATCTTGCTCACTGTTGGTTAGTGGTTCAATCAGCCAATTTCGAATTAAGCAGTTTAAAAGGTGCAGATACAAAATAATCCTTTAACTTATTGTTGCAGGTTGCTTTTGATAAGGTTGGCTCTATGACAACAACCAATATATCAAAGCAAAGGAAAAAGCAGGAACCGGCAGTCATGGCAGAGCTTGATCAGAGATTTAGACGGTTAAATTCCGTGAATGGGGATGACAAATAGGTGGCCTCTCTGGTAATATATATTTATATATATAAGTCAAATGTCCTTGTAGGGGCCTGCTGCCCCTTGGACCTCAATGTTGTGCTTTTTATATTTCTGAGAAGGAAAACCAAGTGGAACGCAGAAATAGTTCTCCAGGATGTAGATGTTGAATGTAATTCACAGAATAATTTGGGTTATTTTTGTATGCAAATGCCCTGTAATTTAAGTTTTTTTTTTGTTGATTTCTTACCAGAGTTGTTCATGGGCTTTATTTCCCTATTAGTATTTCTGAATCTTCTACTGTCACCTGAAGCATTTCGTATTATGGCCCCCACTGAAGAATGCTATTTTGAGTTAAAAATAGGTGTAGATGTAGACTATAAGACGATCACAAAATGGCTTCGTTCTTCTTCTTCTTTATCGTCTTCAGGGTCATGTTTGCATTGTTATCAGATGTAAGATAAATAAACTTTGAACGTCTTTGTCAACTCTAATAACTGCCTATTCAGCTTGTTCTGAACCACTCTGGCTTGAACAAGTTTACCTTAAATCCTAAAATTCTTTCCAATGCTCGATTACATCACCGTTGCTTTCCTGACATGTTTTGGGGTTGCATTGTCTTCACATATCAAGGCCTCTTGCCAACAGGGCAACTGGTTGATTCCAGTCAATAGATGAACTGGATTTGAATACACATTATAAAAGATTTACCTTATATATAAATGTATAGATAGATATATCCATATGTTTGTGTATACAGCATACTCATATATTACTTCACATAGAAGGATCTGCTATCAAGACTCTACCTAGTGCATACAAACCCTTCTAGGTGCCACTTAGGGAGCTCTCTTTGCTACAGAAACCTGTCATATTGTGTTCCATACTCCGAGTAATGTCCAGAAAAGCGCGGCCCAATGTAATGAAAACAATCATCTCTGCCATTGATACATGAAGGTGCCTCAACTCTCCCGTGTAGTCCATCCACAAGTAAGCTTGGAAGTTTGGTGGACTTAAATGGCGAGCTCATCGGTGTTGACAAGTCCATGTCCACATACATCTCGTCGGTTTGGTAGGCTTCCTCAATATCCACTTCTTCTGTTGGTGATGTCTCATACTGGCCTATTTCTTGCTTGCTTTCATACTGCACCTCATCTAGATTCTCAGAGTCATCATATGCGAAACCTTCACTGCCACCCTTACTTGTGTACAGGTTATCTTCCTGCTCATCAGGTGCGGTTGCTCGGACTCCTTCAGTTTCAGTATCATTGAATTCTTCAGGAACATCATCTAATATCTTTGAGATATCACCATAGTTGTTCATAATATGGGAGAAATCACCATAACAATCATAATTTTCCTCCATTAGATAATTTGAAATTTCATCATTTTTTCCATCTGCAATTTTCACTTCTTGCTNTTCTTTCCAATGCTCGATTACATCACCGTTGCTTTCCTGACATGTTTTGGGGTTGCATTGTCTTCACATATCAAGGCCTCTTGCCAACAGGGCAACTGGTTGATTCCAGTCAATAGATGAACTGGATTTGAATACACATTATAAAAGATTTACCTTATATATAAATGTATAGATAGATATATTCATATGTTTGTGTATACAGCATACTCATATATTACTTCACATAGAAGGATCTGCTATCAAGACTCTACCTAGTGCATACAAACCCTTCTAGGTGCCACTTAGGGAGCTCTCTTTGCTACAGAAACCTGTCATATTGTGTTCCATACTCCGAGTAATGTCCAGAAAAGCGCGGCCCAATGTAATGAAAACAATCATCTCTGCCATTGATACATGAAGGTGCCTCAACTCTCCCGTGTAGTCCATCCACAAGTAAGCTTGGAAGTTTGGTGGACTTAAATGGCGAGCTCATCGGTGTTGACAAGTCCATGTCCACATACATCTCGTCGGTTTGGTAGGCTTCCTCAATATCCACTTCTTCTGTTGGTGATGTCTCATACTGGCCTATTTCTTGCTTGCTTTCATACTGCACCTCATCTAGATTCTCAGAGTCATCATATGCGAAACCTTCACTGCCACCCTTACTTGTGTACAGGTTATCTTCCTGCTCATCAGGTGCGGTTGCTCGGACTCCTTCAGTTTCAGTATCATTGAATTCTTCAGGAACATCATCTAATATCTTTGAGATATCACCATAGTTGTTCATAATATGGGAGAAATCACCATAACAATCATAATTTTCCTCCATTAGATAATTTGAAATTTCATCATTTTTTCCATCTGCAATTTTCACTTCTTGCTCCTTGCTTGCGTGGTGGCCATGCTCTTGAGCTATTGCTTTGTGCCTGATGGACCAGTCGGGACGACTCCATAAATATAGTGGTGGTGGCTGCACATTCCATTGCTCCATTTGCTGCTCATGAATATCCACTGATCCAGGTAGGTAAAAGGACTGAAAAAAGGAATGAGTCAAATAGATAGGTCACTAGAGAGTTTCATTCTCGATCTTGTAAAATTAACAAGAAATTAAAATGAGGTAACCACTAGCTTGTACCTTGCCAGAGAGTATTTTGCTATCTTCCCAAATTATATCATATGGAGGCTTTTTTTCATCAAGTCTAATACAGCAACAAAGAAAGAAGAAAGAGTGGTCAACTACAAGGCCCTGGAATTAAAGTTTCCTTGAGAACAATAACGCTTAAGTTGAAATATTTATATATATGTACTTTGAAACAAGCTTGGTGCTTACCTTTTGGTTTCCTTAGGAACAATAAGAATTAAGAGCTTTGGTTTGAACTTAAGAGCCTGATCAATGAACTTGTTCGCAAGGGAAGCGTGGGTTCCAAAAGGAGGATTCAGCCCCATGATCTATTCACAAATCAATGATAAGGCCAATGGTTACAATGTGGTAGTGAAACCCTAGTCCTATGCTATTTTGCTCACAACAGTCTTGGGCATATTACCAAATTACATCCTGCTGGTAATTCTCCTAAACGGACACTCATCCAATCTCTCTTCTCAAAGTTGAAATCATTCTGAAAGAAAAGAGACAAAATAATAATAATAATAACAAATTCGGAGATTATATATTTCAACATTTTTCAGCAGCAAAATAAATATAAATAAGAACAAATTAAAGATATCTGAAAAGGTAAGCTACTCAGATAGTGGTTGCCACAAGAATACCACAATTCAGTCTGTGAACAAAGTACAACCACCATTAAAAAAAACTCATTCTCATACAAATATATACACATTTATCTGTCGACAAACCAATGAAGATACCAATAAGAGGCAACACAATTATTTGTTCTTTGGTTTCCACCGAAGGGCTTTTTAAGTTTTTATTATTATAGCCTCATCAGGTCAGTATAATTTCCTAAATATAGTAAGAAACACAAGAAACTAAAACAGAAGAAGAGTGTGACAGAGATCCTTAAATGGTTCAAAATATTGCAACAAGATAAAAATACCCAAGCAAAATCTGTGTGTGTATTAGTGGTTTTTTTTCACAAATCAAACAATGCACTTCCAATTATAATACAATGGATTCATCAATTCCTCAGCAGGAAGGGCTTNTATTTTGAAACAATTTCAAAAATCAAACAATGCACTTCCAATTATAATACAATGGATTCATCAATTCCTCAGCAGGAAGGGCTTATCTTCCCATGCATGTGTAAAACTGCCAGAAGAAATTTGGTCCACTTCTACTATAGAACATTCATCACATGAACAAATAAAAGGAGTGAAGGTCTACCTTAGGTTGAATTAGATCATAATTTTTGAACGAACATCGCTTCCCCAATTTGTCAAGCTTTTCTTTCATCAAGTAACTAAAATCATTCGAACCACAGCAGAAGTCAACTATCTGTTCAAGAAAAAAAAATGATTGCTTATGTATAGATATCAAAAGCAACAAAAACACCACCAAATATATCTATAATAAGATAAACAACAGTAGACAAAGTACCCTCAGCAACAATCACTTTCACAACTTAAGTTTTGGGTAATAGTCAAATTTCCGTACCCTTTTATACTTTTACCTCTTTTATTCTGTCTAGGTTTGTGTTGGCATATCCCTTGAAGAGCTCGATTAAAACACCTTTGGTCAAATTCAATCCAGAGTGCACTAGAACGATCCAATGGTATTGGATCAACCATGACAGACTTTTGACAATTTTAAGTACTTTAAACAATCCAGGACAACTCTAAATGGGTGGTACTCATTACGAATTATTCCTAACTTGATAAGAGACATGATTGGACATCACATGAAGACTATGCATAGTCTCTTTACTTTCTGCATAAGGTTAGTGATTCCAGGGTTGATCACATTCTTTTAACTAGGATTTTTGGAGGCTAGAGTGCATAATGTTGCAAAGTTCCAGCAGTCTTTGAGCACTGAATGTGAGATCTTTCATAAAGAGACCATATACACAATTTCATCGTTGTATAACGAACAATTTGAGGAGTTGGATTAGTCAATGTATATCGAGACTCAGACACCCCCAAGTTCTGAGACTTCAAAGGATTCTGATGAGAGTTGGTGGATTCCAGTATGCTACGGTGATCAGTGGATGCTGAGACTCAACAAACAAAGTTGGGAATTTCCAGACGACTTGTGGTGGATGTGCTATGAAGCACTAGAGGATTATATTGATCAGGGGATTTTCAAGATTTGGGAGAGATTGCTACAAGAAACTTGAGGATTCAAATTGTTTGAAGTGTAGTGTCTGTGTCTTGCACTCAATTGCATAGTGCAATTGATTGGATACATCCCATGGTTTTTTTTTTCCCGCAAGGGTTTTCCCCATAAAACTAACTAATCAGCACCAGAAAGAATGCAATGCTTTCATGGGTGCATGTGAAATGATTTGACCTGACTCAATGCAGCAAGTTCTTACCGTGTCCCCCTCTTGCACATACCAATGGAGCCTATTGACAATCTGCACAATAAAATTCATGCACTGAGAATCAGTTTATACTCTACCATGAAGGTACATACGGCCAGTTATAAACAGAGAAAATGCTGAGCTTTCATTTTATTTTGTGAATGACATTGGAAACAAATTATCTGCAATAAAAACAAGCTCTCTCATCAAAATCCATAATCAGTCGGCGATAGCAATTAGATGTTATCAAAGGACTTCCATTCATAAGCAATACAAAAAAAAAGCACCTCAAATGTCAGGGTACTTCGGAAGTTTAAGTTATTGACTGTGCTCACAGCAAGTGAAAGCCCCCAGGAGTAGTCTTCATTTAGATTTAATCCACCAGCAAAAACTACAAAACTTAGAACTGAAATGGCATGGACTTCACATATCATGCACTTTGGTACCACAAGATTTAAGTCAAAACTTTTGGATGTGCCCATGAAATTTCCTATGCATAATTAATCAGTAATATGTAGGAGTGTGAAAATATGACACAACTCATTAACACAACACGATTATGACATGAAATTAGAAGGTTTGGTCTTCCTTAAGTCACCAGTTTCGCAAAATGAGAGAATCCGACACGATTAACAAACACATCGGGCATGGGTGAAGCCAACCAAAAAAAATACAAGACACAACTCATTTATATACTACTTATACACAATTTANGGTCAGGGGATTTTCAAGATTTGGGAGAGATTGCTACAAGAAACTTGAGGATTCAAATTGTTTGAAGTGTAGTGTCTGTGTCTTGCACTCAATTGCATAGTGCAATTGATTGGATACATCCCATGGTTTTTTTTTTCCCGCAAGGGTTTTCCCCATAAAACTAACTAATCAGCACCAGAAAGAATGCAATGCTTTCATGGGTGCATGTGAAATGATTTGACCTGACTCAATGCAGCAAGTTCTTACCGTGTCCCCCTCTTGCACATACCAATGGAGCCTATTGACAATCTGCACAATAAAATTCATGCACTGAGAATCAGTTTATACTCTACCATGAAGGTACATACGGCCAGTTATAAACAGAGAAAATGCTGAGCTTTCATTTTATTTTGTGAATGACATTGGAAACAAATTATCTGCAATAAAAACAAGCTCTCTCATCAAAATCCATAATCAGTCGGCGATAGCAATTAGATGTTATCAAAGGACTTCCATGCATAAGCAATACAAAAAAAAAGCACCTCAAATGTCAGGGTACTTCGGAAGTTTAAGTTATTGACTGTGCTCACAGCAAGTGAAAGCCCCCAGGAGTAGTCTTCATTTAGATTTAATCCACCAGCAAAAACTACAAAACTTAGAACTGAAATGGCATGGATTTCACATATCATGCACTTTGGTACCACAAGATTTAAGTCAAAACTTTTGGATGTGCCCATGAAATTTCCTATGCATAATTAATCAGTAATATGTAGGGGTGTGAAAATATGACACAACTCATTAACACAACACGATTATGACATGAAATTAGAAGGTTTGGTCTTCCTTAAGTCACCAGTTTCGTAAATGAGAGAATCCGACACGATTGACAAACAAATCGGGCATGGGTGAAACCAACCAAAAAAAATACAAGACACAACTCATTTATATACTACTTATACACAATTTATGTACGACATGACATGATTTGTTAGACACGAATTAATAAATGAATTAGGTATCAGTACAGTTTTTTTGACATAAACCGGCTAAGATCTGACACGAACCCACCTCACCCGACACGACATGATTGACAAGCCTCGTAACATGAGAGAAAACCAATTCTCACTACTCAACCAATAATTCAGAACTACGAAAAATAATTGCATCAATCCCTAGTTATAGGGGAATACCAAAACCCAAAATCAAAGNGCAAGTTCTTACCGTGTCCCCCTCTTGCACATACCAATGGAGCCTATTGACAATCTGCACAATAAAATTCATGCACTGAGAATCAGTTTATACTCTACCATGAAGGTACATACGGCCAGTTATAAACAGAGAAAATGCTGAGCTTTCATTTTATTTTGTGAATGACATTGGAAACAAATTATCTGCAATAAAAACAAGCTCTCTCATCAAAATCCATAATTAGTCGGCGATAGCAATTAGATGTTATCAAAGGACTTCCATGCATAAGCAATACAAAAAAAAAGCACCTCAAATGTCAGGGTACTTCGGAAGTTTAAGTTATTGACTGTGCTCACAGCAAGTGAAAGCCCCCAGGAGTAGTCTTCATTTAGATTTAATCCACCAGCAAAAACTACAAAACTTAGAACTGAAATGGCATGGACTTCACATATCATGCACTTTGGTACCACAAGATTTAAGTCAAAACTTTTGGATGTGCCCATGAAATTTCCTATGCATAATTAATCAGTAATATGTAGGGGTGTGAAAATATGACACAACTCATTAACACAACACGATTATGACATGAAATTAGAAGGTTTGGTCTTCCTTAAGTCACCAGTTTCGTAAATGAGAGAATCCGACACGATTGACAAACAAATCGGGCATGGGTGAAACCAACCAAAAAAAATACAAGACACAACTCATTTATATACTACTTATACACAATTTATGTACGACATGACATGATTTGTTAGACACGAATTAATAAATGAATTAGGTATCAGTACAGTTTTTTTGACATAAACCGGCTAAGATCTGACACGAACCCACCTCACCCGACACGACATGATTGACAAGCCTCGTAACATGAGAGAAAACCAATTCTCATTATTCAACCAATAATTTAGAACTACAAAAAATAATTGCATCAATCCCTAGTTATAGGGGAATACCAAAACCCAAAATCAAAGATTTCCTAGTATAACTCTAATTACCAAATGAGATAAATCCTAAAACAGGAAATAAAATCCAAAAATAATAAAATAGGAGGAAGATAAATTTTTAAATTTCAATTCTCATCCATCTCTTTTCTAAATTTTTAAATTTTAATCCTCGTCAATCTCCTTTCCGATCACCATCACTTATTGTAAGAGATTTGATTAATTTCAAATAATTTCAATGCATTTTGTTTCCATGGAAACAAAAATATTTTAACTGTTTCAATCATTTAAAAATAAAATTTTGATTCTTGGTGATTGCTAAGTCCTCATTTTCGTGTGTACTTGTGCAAGGAGGAACAAAGGCATGTCTTTAANATCAAAATCCATAATTAGTCGGCGATAGCAATTAGATGTTATCAAAGGACTTCCATTCATAAGCAATACAAAAAAAAAGCACCTCAAATGTCAGGGTACTTCGGAAGTTTAAGTTATTGACTGTGCTCACAGCAAGTGAAAGCCCCCAGGAGTAGTCTTCATTTAGATTTAATCCACCAGCAAAAACTACAAAACTTAGAACTGAAATGGCATGGACTTCACATATCATGCACTTTGGTACCACAAGATTTAAGTCAAAACTTTTGGATGTGCCCATGAAATTTCCTATGCATAATTAATCAGTAATATGTAGGGGTGTGAAAATATGACACAACTCATTAACACAACACGATTATGACATGAAATTAGAAGGTTTGGTCTTCCTTAAGTCACCAGTTTCGTAAATGAGAGAATCCGACACGATTGACAAACAAATCGGGCATGGGTGAAACCAACCAAAAAAAATACAAGACACAACTCATTTATATACTACTTATACACAATTTATGTACGACATGACATGATTTGTTAGACACGAATTAATAAATGAATTAGGTATCAGTACAGTTTTTTTGACATAAACCGGCTAAGATCTGACACGAACCCACCTCACCCGACACGACATGATTGACAAGCCTCGTAACATGAGAGAAAACCAATTCTCATTATTCAACCAATAATTTAGAACTACAAAAAATAATTGCATCAATCCCTAGTTATAGGGGAATACCAAAACCCAAAATCAAAGATTTCCTAGTATAACTCTAATTACCAAATGAGATAAATCCTAAAACAGGAAATAAAATCCAAAAATAATAAAATAGGAGGAAGATAAATTTTTAAATTTCAATTCTCATCCATCTCCTTTCTAAATTTTTAAATTTTAAGCCTCGTCAATCTCCTTTCCGATCACCATCACTTATTGTAAAAGATTTGATTAATTTCAAATAATTTCAATGCATTTTGTTTCCATGGAAACAAAAATATTTTAACTGTTTCGATCATTTAAAAATAAAATTTTGATTCTTGGTGATTGCTAAGTCCTCATTTTCGTGTGTACTTGTGCAAGGAGGAACAAAGGCATGTCTTTTAATTCATCTTTATCCTCTATTTGTCTTTGGATAACGTTTGAAACCTCCAGTCCTTTACCACTTCCTGCATAATAACTAATTCTAATTATCTCTCAATAACTAATTTTTTGCATTGCCTTTTGCACGAAATTTGAGGAATAAGCTTTTTGCTCTTGAGAATTTTTGTTGGGTCGCCTTAAGGGAAATGAATTCTCTGTTTTGTTTAAATAATGTGGGGTTTGGGGGAAACAGAAAATGGAAGATTCTTTGCTCCAATGCATTCTTTGCCACTTTGTAGGTGATCTAGAAAGAAAAAAATGTAAGAATTTTTTAGGATAAGTGTGAAGAAGTTGAGGGACTTTGGGATTGAATTCATTTTTTGGCTTCTTTTTGGACTTTCACAGCTAAGGAGTTTGAGGATATTCCTCTCTTTTGTATTATAACAAGTTGGAGAGCTTCGTGTGGCTTGTAGTCATTGTGTGGATTTCTTATCCACCATCAATTTGTTTCTTGTAAATTTTTTCTTATAATTATCAATAAAATGTCGTGTCTTATTGAAAAAAATTATCTCTTTGTAATTTGAACAAAAAGTTTTCATTGTACCATAACTAAGTTCCTAAAATAACAAAGCATTCCAAACTCGTTCATTTACAGAAGATAGTTCACAACTCACTGGTTCCATTTGTTTCACAAGCTGGTTATATTTTAGATAATAGTTAGGTAGTGGCTAGTGTAGTTAAAATGCACATCTCCCTAGTAGCCTTTTCAATAGGACTGCAACTCGGGGGGATTGGATAGGTTAAGATGCCAATCCAAGTTATGCATCCCTCAACCTGAACCTGACCTCAAACCAAAACACCCCAACTCGAGTACTGCCCACTCGGGCTCGGGTTAAACTTGGGTCAAATCCGAATTATTAACTTGGGTTCAATTTTCAGATTAAATTTGGATTCCTAAATATTAGCACCTTTGACTCTTTTATTAAGCTCATATAGGCCCAATGAAAAACAAAGCCCATTAAAGACACAAGCCTTTTTTAATTTATCTTCTTTATATACCAGAGGAGGAATAAACTCTTTTTATTTCAAATCAATGTGGAATTCCAACTTAGACATTTTATTTTGTTCTTTATTCAACATCCCACATCGGTTTAACAATGGAGCTTGCCCTCCCTCTAATGCTATAAAAACTTCTTGTTGGGTTTGTATAAAACACATTATTTTGTTGCGTGGCCCTTAATATAAATGTTTTTTAATGCTTAAATAAGTGTTAAATATATTTTAGTATCGTAGGTTGAATTCGGGTTGAACCCGAATTTTTTAGTAATTTAGTTTGGGCTCGGGTTGAACCTGTGAATCCAATCCGAAGTCTCAAACCCAAGAATAGTCCGAATTCAGTTTGGATTGAGGATTTTTTATCCAAGGCCAACCCAGTTTTAAAAAACGCAACCCAAACATTGATTTTTTCTGGCTAGGTTCAATTTGGGTTTGGGCTAGCCCGCCCAAGTTGCACCCCTAATTTTCAAACAGAGAATTAGTTATCGTCTATCCACAATTCCAAGTCTACCATTATGAAGCCCTCTGCTACATTCAGCAACAGATNGGTTGAGGATTTTTTATCCAAGGCCAACCCAGTTTTAAAAAACGCAACCCAAACATTGATTTTTTCTGGCTAGGTTCAATTTGGGTTCGGGCTAACCCGCCCAAGTTGCACCCCTAATTTTCAAACAGAGAATTAGTTATCGTTTATCCACAATTCCAAGTCTACCATTATGAAGCCCTCTGCTACATTCAGCAACAGATATTATGATCATTCTTCCACAAATTAGAGAAACAATGAATTGATTAGAGAAAATAAAAAGATAGTTATTACCTCCATAAGTTTGTCCATTTTTGTAAAGTGGCGACCAAAAGATGTATAGCGCATGCCATGGAGAAAAGGGGCAAGATACACCCCAAGCTTCGTCTACACAATGTGAGCAAAGCCATCAGTATGTTTGCAAAAGCAAGCTTCTCAACACTCTTTAATCAAAAAGCTATTACATACAAATACACTAGGCAGTTTCACATGGAATTAGATCCTTGACACTGAATCTTAAATATGCAGGCAAAGCAATCTTATATTGCCAGAATCATTTCAACATGCTGAAGAACATAAGTTATAGTTCAACAAAAAAATGTGAACTCCCTTTCCATAATTGTCATGCATTTATATTTGATTAGCTGTAAGTGGTGTCCACTTTTATACATCATATTTCTGCTCAGTTTTCTCATCAAGGATGGCTCCTCATGGTTTCACACACAAAACAAAAACATGTGACTCCCTTCCCATAATTGTCATGCATTTATATTTGATTAGCTATAAGTGGTGTCCACTTTTATGCATCATATTTCTGCTCAATTTTCTCACCAAGAATGGCTCCTCATGTTTCAAACACAAAACAAAAACAATATATGACTGTTTGACAATGTTGTATGGCAACAAGGTTGATTGCTTGAATTCGGTTCTAGAGAGAAGTTCTTGATGGTGCAAGGAATCATTGACTTCTATAATCGCCCAGCAAGAAATTTATGCATACTATGTTAGAGATAAATAGATGCAATTGTTGGGATATATTGTAATATGGTGTGATCAGTTTAGGACTAATCATTTTGCTCGTGTACATCTTGTGTATACAGGACCAATAAAGATGGTACTGAAAGGTTTTCCAAACCTTCCATCTACTTTAACTCTATATATCACAATGGAAGCCTAATTTGAGAGCTTGTATTAGAAGTTGTTTTTGACATAATGGCACAAACCTTCCATCTGATAATCTGCTTTAGAATTTCTGGTTCACAAACAGCTTTCGCATCCTCAATTGTACATCCTTCTTCTAATTTCTTCAAGGCTGCTCGAACAGCCTGCAAATTTAAGAACCGAAAAAATCTAAAATAACAAAAATAAACATAAAAAAGTGTTGATGCCATGACTATATATTATTTTGAAATTTCGAATAAGCTATCAGTGGCAGCAATATCTCCCGGAACATCAGGAAGAATTACCTTCACAGAACCCTCCACCTTTCCCATAGTGATGGTCTTGTCTACTACAAATTTCGAGCATCCATGAGTAGATGGCCTTTTCTGCTTCTTTATGAATTCTTCCAAATTAAAAGAGGATGTGGCATTTTTCATTAATGTCGCTACACTGTAGAGTAAAGGATCCAATTCAAGCTTGACAAACAAGATGATATAAAATGTATTTTTAAGTTCAAGCTCAAGATTTTTCCACAAGGAAAAGAACCAAAGGTCCAACTTTCAAAAACATTATATGGGTGAGGAAGTTACCGTTTTTCCATTTCAACATCTACTAAAGGCTGGCAGCTTGCTTTCTTCATTTGAGGCTTAGCTACTAGTATGTTTTTGGTTTTACAGCTAAGACTATTTGGCTGCTTAGATTTAATCAGATTCAATCGCTTACTCAGCAGTAAGTGTGACTGATCACTGCTGATAGATGACTTGCCTTTGTCCACTGTAGAAGACTTATACACTTCCGTCAAGACAGATGTTATATTCTCCTTCAGAGAATTTCTGATTACACCATAAACTTGTGGTTCAGAAGCTGCTCTGGAAAATTCTTTCTCACTTCTTTTGGTAGAATCACCACCTTTAGCAGCAGCATACATCCTGTCAACTTTGGTTTGGACCTTTACCGCAGGTCTTTCTGTAAGATCACCATAAACCAAACTTCTCTTTTCTGCCACCATCCTTGCTTTGCTTGGTAGCAGCCTTGAAGTGTATTGCTTGTTTTTTCCATTACCTTCAGGAAATCGAACATGATCTCTTCTGGGTGTCCCAATTTCAGGAATGATTTTATGGTCCCTATGCAAAATGTCATCGGTAATTCATGGGGCATTCAATAAATAATCCAAAATTCATTTAAGAAAATGGGTATTCAGATGAATGCTTACATGCAATATATCAAAATTCGATTTCGCAAAAGACCACCCCAAGCCCTTTGGTGTATGTTCTTCTCAGCATCAAATTCAAAAACAATCTTCCTGAGAAAATTAACAATGCATCGGATTAAAGAAAGAAACTCTTACCTATATTGAATGGACTCTTTGATTCTTACTTGACAAACTACTGAGGAGCCAGATTAGAAAGATGAAAACACTTGAGTCTAACCTGGGTAAGCATTTCCTGTGATATGCCTTTGGACAGCGTCTACACATTGCAAATTGCAGATCATGGACCTTTTTATCTTCTACTTGCTTACAAAGAAAACATTTGTGAGCAGGACAAGTGAACGATTCTCCTGCAGCAATTTTCTTCTGGAGGACTTCAGCTTGAATTTCATCCCATGGATGAAGCAGTTTTGCAACACATGTTGGATGATAGAAATGGCCACAAGTTGCCGTAACACAAGGGAAGACCTGGAAAGCATTGGATAAACAAATTTTTAGTTGCAAATGCTTACACATAACCTACAGTTGCAAAAAACACCTGAAATGTACTTTCCAAGAGCATGTGGCAACAGAGGAGAACAAGACCAAAATAATATACAGGGGAAGGATCGACTATAATTACAGAGGAAGATGATGATAAAAGATGTAGTCAGGCAGACTGACAAGACCAGGGGGGGTTATTACAGCTGTTGATACCTTCTATTGTCATCATTCATATTGCAACCATCCTCCCCCTTATAGATAAGTGGATTCTCATGGCATATAACTAAAATTACTATCATATCATAACCAATGTCACCAAGTGATGATTCCCATCACCAAGGTTATATGAAATGTAATAAACAATTTTATCTTCCTAACTCCCACCTTTGTTTAAAAGGCACTTAGTATTTTCTTCAAACAATTCAACATATAGTATGCACCATTACTTCAAGCCGCATGTGCTTTATAATCACTACCGGCAAAGCATCAGTTAGAAGCTTCACAAGCTGATGGACAAACTAAGGTTTCGAGTTTGTATCTGTTGAAACTAATAAAGTGAAAGTTACAAAGATCGATACAATTAAGGTTTCTAGATTGAATCTGTAGCTGAAGCAATAACGTTAATGAACCAAAAGGTTTGCGAAAAACATCCATAAATGGGCTCTGCATCACTGGGAAGGATGTCAAGATCAGGCACAAGGTAGTTTATAATTGGAAACACACTCTCCACTAACAATCAGCATTGCTCATTTGCCCTACTAGCAAATGCAAAACAGGGACCTAACATACCAGTGGCAATGGTTAACAACAACCAAATTAAAGCTTCAAGAGCTAGAGAGAAGCTAACAGTGTGATAATGCAATGTCATCAGCGTTGATGATATATCAAGACATCAATGTTATAGCTCAAAAGCTCTTTTCAAAGATTTCCACAAATCCAAGAGAATCTCAAGCCTCTAATGGCCCAAAATAATTTACATTCATTTCAAGTAGGAGAATTAATTATGTTTTCCTAGATTTGAAGTGAGCTGCCATAGGTTCTTGGAATAGAAAATCTTGTGTACTATGGACTCACTAATTAGCTGTGTCAATGCAACATGACACAAGTACATGTATAAGATTTGCAACAGTTACATCAACAACTCAGACATAAACATGCCTTCGTTGTTCTTTCGATCTATATCAAGAGTAACCAATTTCTACTGCTGCAATTTTAACACCGACTTACGTACCTAAAAGGGGACATGTCGTTGATCGCCTCGCAAAAAGGGTGTTAGTGATTGGACATCAAGGAAGAATTAGAAATTTGAAATAGATTCTTAATGACATGAACAATATAACTGACACTTGACCAAGTCTCTGAATCCTAAGAATGACAACTGAAAATGTCCTCTGAACTAGATATTCCATACCTGGAGCCTTAACATCAAAATGATAGGGCCCCCTCAAAACTGACCCCGACAAAACTTTGAAGTAGGTTTTTCTGAGCCTCCCTAAATGGAGGCTTGGATATATGGAAGTTCAGGGACAGCTAGGACTGACGTGATACAGTTCCACCATTATGCTACCAAAAGAGAAAAACAAGCACAAAATTCAAACGTCTCCGGAGAAGTTAATTCTAACAAAAAAGGATTTTACACATTCAATTGATATAAAAATTCCAGATTATTTCTCACAGCATGCTTCGCTCCAAATGAATAGAAAAACTACAATCAAGGAGTCTTATATAGAGTTTAACACCATATTTGTGTCAAAATCTGAACAGACCATTCTTGAATGACAGGTACAGCGGTTAACAATCAAGTACAGGACAAGTCTATGCTTTAAAAATGTATTTTGGTTTTGATTTGTCAGAAGAATAAAACCTCTGAACCATAAGATTTATTGGAAGACCCCAAGCTGCCACAAACAAAGCATTGATGCCATTGATGTTGACAATTCTTGCACAGAAAAGTCTGAATTGCCTGCATACAACCAAAAAATGTTTCAGGGACTGAACTATGGGAGTTTGGCAGAACATGTAGTAATGCCTATATGAAAACCAAAGAAATGTGACATATGGAGGTTCACACCTTAATTTTTTATTTTTTGACAGAAGGTTCATACCTCAACTTGAGCATCAGTATAGCCAAGAGATTCACAAAAAGATTCAGCTCCAGCTACTTTCGTTGTATGGAAAGACCTCATGCACCTCCCTTCACAGCTGCCATGCCACATATGGACAAGTAGTACAACGTAAAATAAGCAATAAAATCAATCTGCAGATATAAATTTACTAAAGAAAATGCCGTAAAGCCAACAATAGAACTAAACATCACCTTTCTAAGGAACACATATGATAATGAAACGAGCTTGCAGTGGAAACAAACATTTTCTGTGTGAAAAAGATGTTTCGAAGTAAGGGGGATTATCCTGTGTGTGTGCGTGTGTGAGTGAGAGAGAGAGAGAGAGAACTAACAAAGTGCAGAGAACTAATAACAGCAGACCAACACCAAGCGTGACAACCTATGAGTACATACAATAGTCAATGTAGGATTACAAAGTACTAGTTAGTATCTCTGATAGTCAAAGGCACTCCAAAATCAGCAAAATGATTCGACAGAACTGATTGGCCTCCAAAAGTACTAAAAATACTCCCAACAGCTTTCTTGCATCTGCAGCCAATTTGCAGACTATACTTGAGTGGTATTCAAAACCACTAAGGCTCTCAAATCAGCTCTTCCAAAGCCTCACCCCATTCATAATCTTAGAGATAAGAATTCAGATGATGTTTACAGTTCATTTTCATAATTAAAGGAAAATAAGCAAATAAGCAAACAAAGGAGGCACAGATGCAAACAAACAGCCACAATGGTCTTTACCAAAAATTACAATCGCCATGCATCCTGTGATTTCAGGATTGCAACCACACGACTTAATCTCAAAAAATATTTGGAGATGGCAATATCACCAACCTAAAGGCAGAAAACAAGGATGAATGACAGAAAGGAAATAAGAAATCTCCATATATAGACATAGTTAATTTCCTAGGACTAAGGCCTTGTCCATCACAAATAGGAATTTGGTCCTTTTTGTTAGAGCTTGAAATACAGTATTGGGCCCATTCTCTGACATTAAGCATTTTGATGTATTTTGTTGTCCACCTCATCTACATGTGGGTGGTGTCACAAATGAGGATGAGTGTCAAGAGCTTGGTATACATTGTTAGGCGCATTTTCTAATCACTTAAGCATTTGGGTAATGAATAGCCGTCACGTCACTTTTTGCCTCAACAAATGGATTCTCACGGAATGAGTCGAAGCTACCAGATTGGGACAACTCCTACAACCAAACTACAACTCCAATGCCCAAAGTATAGCTTCTAGTGTCATCTGATTTCTTCAGAAGTTAACCTCTCGGAAGCAGTTAAAGTTCTTCATAAAACTCTCCTCCTCCTCATCTTATCCAGAATTTGATGTTGCCCCTCTAATTTATCAACGTANTCCTAGTGTCATCTGATTTCTTCAGAAGTTAACCTCTCGGAAGCAGTTAAAGTTCTTCATAAAACTCTCCTCCTCCTCCTCCTCCTCATCTTATCCAGAATTTGATGTTGCCCCTCTAATTTATCAACGTAACTCCGGACATGTATGTTTAAGTCACTTCATCTGCATAAGAAAAAATAAATCAAAGGTGTCCTTCAATTTAGATTGATGTGCCCGAGTTTGACCTTGCCTATTTTGTCCCTCTGACTAAAGTCTGAGCTCTTTGAGAGTAATGAAATAAGCGTAAGCTCATGAACCCTGAAAGTAAATATCGCATGCAATGGCCACCTGCGTTAGCTTGCTTATGCTCATGGCTGATCCAGTTATTGATTCAGGTTGAACTGCTTGTCCGAGCTCTTCAATTGATTCAAGCATGATTTGTCCTTCTGCTGTGCTGTGTGCACTGATAGACATATTGATGAAGTTAAAGCCTCAGGAACGTTATTGAGACATCTCTTCTCACTCATTCGAAAAATATCTCTTCCCGCTAATCGAAAAATACACTGTTTATGTCATATCAAAGATGGGAATGTACTACACACAAAGAAGGCATTAGGACCTCTTAATAAGACTTCTATGTCCCAGAACACCACTTTATGCCTAGCCTTCCAAAGATCAATAAAGAAAGAGGGTGGCTCAGTGCATGAGACCCCAGCCAATGGAGAAGTTGTCTCCATGACTCAAACCCATGGAGCCCAGGTTGCAATGGAGCTAATTGACATCGAGGTGATCCAGTATGCATATTCTTAAGTGAATTCCTCTTTTGGCATACTCACCATAATTTTCCAGTCTTCTAGCACAGAGTGTGTTATTTTCCAGTAACATCTACATGAGTGGTACATTAGAGGGTCATGCATTAAACAAATGTGATGGTTAGATAGTTTTGGTTAAATTATATTACATGAAGAAAAAGAAGAACCAAATGGGGTGGTAAAGCTGAATAAGATGAATATCCCAACTTTGGCAACACATCAAGATGAAGAAATTTGAAATGTCGGCAGAGTTCGAAGTGAAACAGATTAGAATTTCTTAGAATTGAAAATCTCATGTTTGCCAAATTATTTGGATAAATGTCATAATCCTAGGCATTACTGCATTCAAACCAAAACACAAGACTCAAATTCCTCATCCATAAAGTATTGTAAGTTATTCATGATGTTTACTCTTCATATTTAATTTTTGTCGATAGATTCAAAAACTTTGTAATTGAAAGAAAAGGTTCCAAAGTTGCAAGAAATCCTTACCACGGTGGTTGGGACTCCAATTAGTTAAAAAAACCAAAATTTAAAAGTGAGAAAGGAAANAGGTATTGTAAGTTATTCATGATGTTTACTCTTCATATTTAATTTTTGTTGATAGATTCAAACACTTTGTAATTGAAAGAAAAGGTTCCAAAGTTGCAAGAAATCCTTACCATGGTGGTTGGGACTCCAATTAGTTAAAAAAACCAAAATTTAAAAGTGAGAAAGGAAAGAAAAACAATAAAAGAGTCACTAGCAACCCATGCACATGTTGGGGGTGGAGAGCAAGAGGTTCCATTTCTTAGCAATTCTTCTTGTTTGCTAAAGAGTATGAAAGACTTAAAAATGAAATAATGTTTTAGAAAATCTCCTCAAATTCTTGGTATGTATCCATCAACAAGAGGATTTTCAAATCCCTTCTTTCCCCAAAACCCTGGCCAAACACAGTTTGAAGTGTACATAAATTAAGGGCATACCATATAATGTTACCGCCATTGTCACAAAGTGCACAAACAGAATCAAATAGCTCATCTGCATTGTTATCACATTCATCATCATCCTCACCACCACCACCACCACTATAATCCTCATCCACATCAACTATAAACTTAGATTTCTTTGATGTTCGATTCTCCTGCAACACAAGGCAATTACTCTTCCTCAAAGTGAAGGATTGAATCTAATATAAAAAAAAATGACAAAACAGAGGAAATATGCAACCAAGATTATATATATTGGCCCTGACCTCATGCAAAGTTTTTCTTTTCCCCGGCGTCTCCAAAAGAAATGTGCCCAAATACTGTTTCATGTCATGACATACAAACGTATATTAAGATGTTTACACAATAGACCTACAAATGCAAATGCATGATTTCCTCATTAAAAACATTAGATGTAGAATTAGATATACTAATTTGTAAATGAACGCTTGCAGAGTGGGTTAAAAATGATGCAACCTAAACCAGAAAATTCAACTATACTGTTTACAATGGCAATCAAAGAATGCTTTACCAGCTTATTAAAGCTGACAAACAATTGAGCGAACTTTTGACTTATCGGGGGTCAATGTTAATTGTAACCATTTCAAGATAAACTAATTTGTTTATAGGATGATTTCCCGTGAAATAGCTCCCACAAGTTTTTCTTCTTCTTTTTGCTCAAAACATGATGATCATGGTATGTATCTATCATTTCCTTGAGAAATGAATTGAATAAAAAGAAAGCATTTCCGTATCCATCCTCACCATCGTATCATTTAATGTGCTCAAAGTTTGTAAACAACAATGAACCAAATCATTTGCTAAAGAAGGCAACTCAAAGCCAAGAAGTTGAATGGCTCCAATTACTTTATGTGGGAACAATGATGGTAGCATTGGGGGCCTTGAGGAAATTACAGTGTGTTATCTGATCCTCCATCTTCCAACAGTAATGAATTTGACAAATGAGAATCATATGATTTGGTCATGTCATAGTGATGGGAGAGTATGGAGCCATCGGTATGTGCAAAATTCCATGTTTTTTGGTTACTGCTAAGCTTATTTGGGAAGTGCTACTATAACGATGTGGGACAAACTCTAACAACTTTTTTTTTGCAAATTGCACAAGAACTATTCACATTATTTATATTGTTTTATTTTTTGTCGATATATACTGTTAATTAAAGTGAATCAAAGAATGGCTCTCTACTTAAGCATGAAAATGACAGAACCTCAGATTTTGCTATGTCTTCATCCCTTCCTGCAGCTTCACCAATTAATCGAATGTGTTCTAATAGATCATTCTCAGAAGGTCCAACCTCGTATGAACTGCAANTGTTTTTTGCAAATTGCACAAGAACTATTCACATTATTTATATTGTTTTATTTTTTGTCGATATATATTGTTAATTAAAGTGAATCAAAGAATGTCTCTCTACTTAAGCATGAAAATGACAGAACCTCAGATTTTGCTATGTCTTCATCCCTTCCTGCAGCTTCACCAATTAATCGAATGTGTTCTAATAGATCATTCTCAGAAGGTCCAACCTCGTATGAACTGCAAGATAAGTGATTGGATTAATTTGTATCAGCAGCCCAAAAAATGATAAAAGAGAGATCACATAATATGCAATTTTTGAAACCTGAAAGTTTTCAGCAAATGTTTCCATAATTCGTCTCCAGATGCCTTTTGATTCTTTTTAACAAAATGAAGGCAGTGAACCGTGATCAGAATTGTCCTGATAATACATTCAAAGCTTTTCCTAGGCCTTTGGAGCTTTATCCAGGTTTTATCCTTGGAAAGCACATAAATCTCAGGCAGGGCATAAGAAAGTTCGATCTTCCATGCTATGACCTTCTTATATATTTGCTGGCACCCACCATTTTCATTCCCACGTAAGAATAAATGTGTATTCATGCCATCTGTGGCCTCATCCTCACTCCATTGCAGTGGTAAAGAGGAAAATGAAATGGGTTCTTCTTTATAATCAACAAGGTGGTAATTTGACACACAATTTGGGACGATCTCACCCTCTTCATCAGAAGATGCCATTAAGCGGATACAATCCACTGCATTCGAAGAATATAAGAAATTAAAGGGTGCTTGAGAATTCATATCAAGTTCCTAATTAAATCAATGCAAATAACTTTCATTAAATCAAAGTTACAAAACAGCTTTGGCATTGGGCAAACATTTCAAAATACCTACATGCTAAAAGGTCCATGTACTAGAAGAAAAAGAACACTACTACTCAAAGAATTCAGGTACCTCTATGATTCTAGCTATGATTCTAGTACTTGAGAATTCCCATGCACATATTTTTTACAGTTTGAGACTGGATGCTTTCATAACTCACAATATTTGTTTTGCTAATCTTAATTAGCAATGATTTTCTAGCAACTACATGTTGTGAGATGGCGTTGCGGGAAAACTCATTTTATTATAGCTTGTAGCACTGAAACTTGGTACTATCACCAAATGAGACCCACTGAAACAAAAAATCAGAGCCAGCCTCTGGCAAGCCATGTTATCACACGGTATCTGTAAATTTATATGCCTATGGCTTCTTCTTTTTTTTTTTTGTTATTTTTTGGAGGATGAGGAAGACGAAACACGGGAAATGAAAAGAGTTTACCAGAAAAAATAAACCACTTCAGTAAGAAGGAGCTCTGCCTCTAAAGGCAAAATGAGTTTCCAATGAAACATAAACAAAGCAAAACACCGTGTCATTACACTTACTCAACCCAAATTCACATTAACAGGCATAGAAAAACAGCATTAAGTAGCAAAGAAATCCGAAGGAGACTAATCTCACACAACAAGCCGATCAAAAAAATATTGTGAAGAACTTCAGTGAGAGCTCTGAAGGTAAAAAGAGATTCTACTGAAACATAAACAAAGTAAAACGCCATGTTAGTACACTTATTCAACACAAATTCACATTCACAGTCGTAGAAACACTGCATTAAATAGAAGAGACAGTGGAAATGAGAGTAATCTCATACAATAAACCGATCATGATCAAAAAGCACAAAAAAAACAGAGAACACACTAAGAAAATGAAAAGATAGAGGCGTAGATATACAAACCCAAACCAAGGGTTTGAAGTTTTAACAATTGGAGGAGAAAGAGTGAGCAAATGGAAGAACTCTGCGCATTTTGAGAATGCCAAAAATGAGAAACGTTCATAAAGATGGTGTGAGGGAATCACTGTACGTATTACTACTATTGCAGGTTCTTTACGGTTTTTGGCGGTGGGTGATTATTTTATTATTGGGATAATTTCACTTTGTACCCTAAAAATTTACGAATTTTCATTTTGTACTTTTATAAATTATATTTATTATATTGTATCCTTAATGTTTATAAGTATTACAATATATCCCTTATGTTAATTTTTGTTACTCATTCTGTCAATATCAATAGGGTAATTGTGAGGAAATAAACAACGAAAGTTAATGAAACGATGGTCGCACTGTAACACCTTGTAAGACATTGATCTAATTTCTTATAAATGTTAGGTTAATACCAAATCTCAATATTCGATACGAGCCCATAGATAATCCAAAGACTATGATGAATTAAGCCAACAAATTATATCAATAAATTATATTCAAATAAATTTTTTTTATGCACATTAAGGTTTATAAGCCTACCACCAACGTAAAAATATAGTATTTGATAGTAACACATATAGAAACATGTAATACATAGGAGGTCAAAATATGATGTCGAGACAATATAAACATGGTACAAAATTGAATAGTGTGAGTCTTTCTTAAGTCACATGTTTCATAAATAAGGGGACCAAACATAACACAATTAATAAATAAATCAGAATACGAGTGATACACGATTTATACATGATACGAAATTAATATAATACGATTTCTTAGACACGAATTAATAAACGAATTAAGTATGAATATTAAATAATAAATATTATTATTATTNTTCGAGCCCGTAGATAATCCAAAGACTATGATGAATTAAGCCAACAAATTATATCAATAAATTATATTCAAATAATATTTTTGTATGCACATTAAGGTTTATAAGCCTACCACCAATGTAAAAATATAGTATTTGATAGTAACACATATAGAAACATGTAATACATAGGAGGTCAAAATATGATGTCGATACAATATAAACATGGTACAAAATTGAATAGTGTGAGTATACCTTAAGTCGCTTGTTTCATAAATAAGGGGACCAAACATAACACAATTAATAAATAAATCAGAATATGAGTGATACACGATTTATACATGATACGAAATTAATATAACACGATTTCTTAGGCACGAATTAATAAACGAATTAAGTATGAATATTAAATAATAAATATTATTATTATTTTTTTAATTATGAATAAATTCAAAAACTTATATTAAAAAAGTACAAAAATTATAAAATTTAAAATTATGGTATCGATTTTTTTTTTTTTTTGGGTATTGCAGTCTTCTCCAACGGTCCCACGTTGAGCATAATAATTTTCATTTCATATTTAAGCCGAATATCCCTCCGTTCTCATCTTCCTCCTCACACTTCTCAGTCCTCAAAACCCTAATCCTAGCAAGGAAATGTTCAGTCACATACACCTCCATGTCCAATCAATATCAAAAAGTCAAAATCCTAGTCCTTGATCAAACCATGTACAATGCAAACCTCAACTCCATTCGAATCGAAGCCCTAGACGAAGACCACGAAATTCTCACAATTTCCACACCATGTCGGACCTTGACGACATCGATCTCGATCCCGAAGACTTCAACTCCTCATTCCCCTTGAAAAAGGTCCCATACGGCGACGTCTTTGAGGCCTCCCGAGCCGGCGACGTCGACCGCCTGAAATACCTACTAGAATCCGGAGTCAATGTCAACGCGCGAGACCAATGGGACTCGGTGGCTCTATACTATGCATGCCTCGCGGGCCACCTCGATGCCGCCAGGATGTTATTGGCGTCCGGAGCCATTTGCTCGGAGCATACTTTTGATGGTGATCGGTGCCACTATGCGGCACTGAATTTGAAGGTGAGAAAATTGTTGAAAGCTTTCGAGGCGAGACCGCCACCGTTGGGACCGTTGCCGAGTGCGTTGAGAGAGACTTTCAAGGGATGCTGGGCGAACTGGAATTATCTCGAACAGTTGGATGGCCAATCACAAATTCCAGGTTTGAGTTCGGAACACAGACACCCACACACATATTTGTTTAATTTTATTTAATTTCATGATCACTTTTGCGAAATGATGACAATGTATAATGTGTTTTTGCTGAAATTCATGCTCATTATTGTTTTAGTTTCAATTGTTTTCCCATCAGCCCTATCATGTTTGCTTGTATATTTGATTGGTTTGTTAAGGGTGATTATGTGCCTGAAGTGAGGTCGTGCTAGGTTAATTTTTTAATTTGGGTTATTGGGTGCCTGGCTTGTTTAAGTATTGGAATGTATGTCTGATTGGGCTTATAATGCGTCTAGCTGAATAGCTTGCACAAGGATTGATTTAGCTCTAAATTATCCATTTATAATTTGCGTGCTCGTGCACTGGGGTTTCTATTTATATTTTCATTTAGTTTTCTGTGTGCCTCTCTGTCTGCGTCTATTTATATTTTTGTTTTTGCATGATGATGCATAGATGTTAAATGAATGCTAGGTATTTTTAAAATTTACTTGTGCAATTCAAAAGTATACTTTAGTGGATTTTAGTTCTTCCAAGTTGGCATGTGTATGATCTGTGGAGTTTATACTGATCTTATTTGAGAGTAATGGATGCACTAAAATAAAACCAGATAAATATATGCACAGTTGAATATGCTAAAAAGTGGAAGCTTTTAATTTGTCTAATTGTGATAACATCACGAGTCATGACAAACATCAAGACAAAAGGTTACTTTGTGCTTCGAAATATGCTTTCAACTGTTTGCAACATGGTTTTCCTGAGTTAAATGCAAGAATGGCATTGCATGAAGTTCTCAACCTTTCACAGTTCATACAATGTAATTACTTGAGCTAACTTGTTCCTCTTTTAGAGGTGCACAGTAATTTTTCAGGGGCTTGGCCAGAAAAGTGTTGTTGCTGTCTGCCCCCTCGTTTTTTCTTCTCTTATTTTTTTTGGGTGGGTGTGTATCGGAAAACAGCGTTTGGGAATTGATTTGTAAATTGCAGATGCTAGCATATTCTTTTAACCTAATCCAGAAGGTAGCAAATAACATCTGTAGAATTTTTAGCCCTTTTTGGGTGTGCATCACAACTTTATAGAAGCTATAGTATGTGCCAAGCATTTTCTCTGTTGAACTTATGGCTCAAGTGTCTGGAGAATTTGGTAACCTAGATGCTTATTCCACGGTGAAGATTTTTCATTATGATACTAATAGCACGGGCCAGAATGCGAATTAATGGTTGTTTTTCTAAGCCACATTTTTTTCTCCAGGATCAATATGCATATCAGTCTGACCTAATGTGTGATATTGAGTAGGGAATTCATCCAATGGAGGATCCAGTCCAAGCCATTTCCCTCCAGATGTCGTATTTTATGTGCAAGGAAGACCTGTTGAAGCTCACAGAGTAATCCTGAGTGCTCGGTCACCCTTCTTTAAGAAAAAATTTCAGACTGACTGGAAGAATCGTAAAGAAATAAGGTTCTCTAAAGAGAAGTTGTCCTGTCCTGCTCTTTACAGCATTATCCATTTCTTTTATTCTGACAGGCTAGAGATTGCAGTAGATGACATGAAAGACCTTGTCAGAATTTGCAAAGTTTGCAAGTGCGAATCATTACAACGGGTTCTACAGAAAGAATTGGTTCATCAAAAGTATGCAGAGTACAAAGCACTCAGAGATGTAGACAACTCTCAGAAACGGTTTATCTTGCAGGGCCTTTCCCTTCCTGAGGAAGACCGGCTTCCGGCTGCCTTGCATCGCACCCTCCAAAGATCTCTTGCCATTTCATCAAGACACCAGAATCGAGATGATTGTGTTGACAGTCTTGTATCTCGTGTGGCTTTAGTGCAGCTGAGTGAATTTGACGATGATCTTGCAGATGTGTGTGTAAGAGTTGATAAAAAGATTTTTCGCTGCCATCAGGTCGTCTTAGCATCAAGATCAGAATATTTTAAAGCAAGATTATCCCGCATAAAGGATTTTCTTGAAGGAAAAGACGGTTTACCAGATTACAGCCTTCCATGTCTTGAGGAACATGATCTAAGCATGGAGGCTTTTGAGAAGATGATTGAGTATATGTATGTTCCTTTTTTTTTCCCAATAACAAATTAGTTGTAACACGTGAAACTTGAATGGAAATACCGGAGAGAAAATCAAATAGAGATGCTTCATGGGTAGGTTGCACTGTTTGACATAGTGTTGGCCACACATAGTTACATGTTAAAGTNCAGATAGAAAATCAAATAGAGATGCTTCGTGGGTAGGTTGCACTGTTTGACATAGTGTTGGCCACACATAGTTACATGTTAAAGTTATTTCCGTAGATTACCCGGCCTACACTTCGTCTACTATTAAAGGGATATAACCTTACAACTAGGCATGTTGTCTTGTCAGCAGTGTCCTTGAACACTATGTTTTGCAGGGCCTACTAATTATGGTGGCACATAATCCTTTCTTTTCTGTAGCTTCTAAATCTTAAATGTTATATTTTCATTTAACTTGCTTATTATTGATACAGGNAGGGGATATAACCTTACAACTAGGCATGTTGTCTTGTCAGCAGTGTCCTTGAACACTATGTTTAGCAGGGCCTACTAATTATGGTGGCACATAATCCTTTCTTTTCTGCAGCTTCTAAATCTTAAATGTTATATTTTCATTTAACTTGCTTATTATTGATACAGGTATACTGATGGTTTGGAGGATATAGATCCAGATCAGGTATGCTACAATATATTCAAGTGGCTAGGAATCTTATCATTATTCTTGCATAAAGCTCACATGTTTTAATGTGCAGGCTGAAGAAATGTTTGATGCTGCTTCGAGATATTTATTATTTCCTCTGAAGCGTGCTGTTGCTGATGCACTGTTGCCACACCTGGAAATGGTTCCTCCTGCCGAGTTGTGCCATTGGCTGATATTATCAGACATGTATGTTGTGTTTTATTTCTCTTCTTGTGGTTTTTTTCCTTCTGTTGTCTTCTTTGGGGTGACCAGTTCTACTTGATTACATTTAAGCAATTTTGGCAAGGTGAAAAATAGAGAGATCAAGCATTTTTTCGTGCAAGCTTCTTCAATCTAGAAAATATTTAAGCAACTTTGGCATTGAAGAAATTTTGACATGGTATATCTATACTAGTAATAAAAATATCTTAAATGAAAAATTTTTCATTTACTATTTTGCCCTTATAAGAAACTATAGAGACTAACATGTTCTTTTGTATTTAAATATATAAATTACTATTATATCCCTTTATACTTAAATAACAAACTAACTTCTAGCATATCATGTAAATNACTAATAAAAGTATCTTAAATGAAAATTTTTTCATTTACTATTTTGCCCTTATAAGAAACTATAGAGACTAACATGTTCTTTTGTATTTAAATATATAAATTACTATTATATCCCTTTATACTTAAATAACAAACTAACTTCTAGCATATCATGTAAATCTCTATCTTTGCAAAACTTTTAGATGGTCATGTTACTATTAACAAGATATATAAAAATATTTTTTTTTTCAAAACTCCAATATTAATACATATGGACAATTTCATTGATACAATATCATACCCGATGCCAAAAAATCGATATGTGTATCTTTTTCTATTCATCCACGATACAAATANCCTCTAGCATATCATGTAAATCTCTATCTTTGCAAAACTTTTAGACGGTCATGTTACTATTAACAAGATATATAAAAATATTTTTTTTTCAAAACTCCAATATTAATACATATGGACAATTTCATTGATACAATATCATCCCCGATGCCAAAAAATCGATATGTGTATCTTTTTCTATTCATCCACGATACAAATAATTTAAGCATGATAAACATGAGATAATATCTAATTTAGCTATATAATTAAACTTTTATATATTGCACGTGGTGTATTACTAGTTGTTATAAATGTGGTCTATTGACATATACACTGACAAATACTAAATTGCCTTATACCTCATTAAATGCTATTTTTTTTTAACTGTAATTCTGTTCCCGTTCAAAAAAAAAAACTGTAATGCTGTTGAAATCATATGTGGCATTGTAGGTATGGTGTTGTGAAGATTCGTGAGTATTGTCTGGATGTAATGGCTTGTAATTTTGAGATATTTGCTGATACTCCCGAGTTCCGGGCAATGCTTTTGACTCTTCCGCCACCATCAGGAGATTCTTCATTTCGAACCACAGTTCCAAGTGCTCCTGGAGCTGAGGTCAATACTGAGGGTAATCTTCTTGATGATTTGCGTGAGAAATGGCTCGAGGCTGAAGCTGCTGAACTTGACAAGAGAGATGAGAGTGCATTGCTTTTTGACAAACGCCTCGAGATGCTTATGCTGGTGGCGGAAAAAGAGAAATCTGGTGCTCCAGCTGGTGATAATTTTGAGGGCACTGCAGGAACCGACTCTTCCCAATCCTCCATTCTCATGACAGAATGAAACAAAAGATAAAAAAAATTGTAAATCTTACTCAAATTTTTCCTATACATACCAATAGCTACTCGACTGTTTTAGTGTTGCAAATTAACAGGCAAATTGAATCTTTGTCGTTTGACAAGCTGTGGTTCGATTGTTGTAAACATCTATTGCTTTGAGAATGTTTGAAAAATTACATATTCTGTCAATCTCCGCGGAATCTTGTAGCTTTATAGTTCCTGTATGATGGATTGATAGAATGCGTAACACATGCATCCGAGGCTTCACTCCATCAAAAACATTACGACATTAGACAGATGCCTTCTTCCCGTCGCCCACCCCAGAATTTTGAAAGTGACGTGATTGTAACCGGATTCCAACTACCTACGTGAGATGTTGGTAATTATTACGTGGGATAATTACGAGCTCCAGAACGATCTCAGCATGGATCAATAAAGCAATGTTTGAAAGGAAAATCACAAAATAAAATAATGCAGACCTTGAGTGTATACATCAATGCCCGTCCATGGAGTGTATACATCAATGCCTGTCCACAAGAAAACTGATAACAAAAAGCCATCAACTGAATTTTCTCCCTGACTTCCTCATTATGTTTATTAATCAAATGAAGAATTCAGAGACACTCAACTTTAATTACACAAAAAAATTTACAAGCCGTCTTTTCAATCTTCTTTTCCACATATTTTACTGTGAATTGCCTAAACATGAATGTTATATAACATAGAAGATTAGCAACTGACATACCAACTAACTGCGATCAATTTTGATCTCGCCCTCTTAAAGAAAAACCGAGGACCCAAAGGGTAAAAGGGAAAAATGATGAATTGCTTGGTCATTCTTCATCAAAAGTTTTGTCCATTTCAGTCTGCAGTGATGCTTCATCCTTCTCAACCCGTTCAGAGGGCTGTCCATTTCCAACCCGTGGAGAGAGAGTAGTATTGGAAGCAGGATCATCTATGGATGAATTGGAGAGCTCTCCAACTGCAACAGCTTCGTCGTCACCGTCTCTGGAAGTTGGTGGAAATGCATCAGCTACTTTATTGTCTTCAGTAGGGGTTTGCTGCAGACTCCAGTACATGATGCTTGCAGTTAGGGTGAGGATCATCTTCTGGTTCACCTATCAAGATGTACATAATTTTGTTACGACAATGCAATCGAATGTTTATGCATTAGTCTGATGTAAGAAGTGTTTAGTATAAATACCTTAGTAATACTCTCTTTAATAGCTTAGCTTTTAGAGTAGATGGTGGTTTAATAGGTATCAGAGCTAGAGATCTTGTGTTCAAATCTCGCCTCCACCCTAATTATTAAAAAGATGTCCATGTGCTAGGCCCAAAATCTAGCATGCACGTAAGGAGATGTGTTGAAGTATAAATACTTAAGTTACATCCTTTCTAATAACNCTAGAGATCTTGTGTTCAAATCTCGCCTCCACCCTAATTATTAAAAAGATGTCCATGTGCTAGGCCCAAAATCTAGCAAGCACGTAAGGAGATGTGTTGAAGTATAAATACTTAAGTTACATCCTTTCTAATAACTTAAATTTTTGGAATAGATGATGGTTTAACAAAAAGCATTCCAACTTCACAGGCTTCCCAAACAATGTTAACAATTGAAACCTAATACTTCAGATCCAATGATAATCAGTCTGGGTAAATTGTCGTAAGAGATGATGGTACTAATGACTCAGGCATACTCAAGAAGGTTGGGTTTTTATAAACCTTAGGCCAACCAGATGATGGAAATTATCAGGTCCTTTGAACCAGCAGGTTCAACGAGTTTCATAAATGACAAGATTTACTGGTCGAACAAGCTGAACAGGCTGTATTAATTAGCATTTCAGGTATCCATTTCTAGTAAATGATGGTTTAATTCCAGGGCCATGCATTTGAGGGCCATCCCTTCATATAACCCTACAGCCTGACTTCCCAGAAGACACTTATAACTTCTTGATCGCAGACATAAAGAAAGATTTCATCATGGTCGTAGTCTTACGACTTTTACCTCAATTATGTCTTCAGGCAATAAAAAAATGGAGCACCCAAGCTTTCGAGCAACACTGATTATATATGTTGAGTTTAACTTCTTATCCTCATCTGCAATAGGGATAACAATATCATCATTTTTCTTTACATACAGTAAGAATTCTACTTGTAAATGTATGAAGCCAAAGAATGTCCAGGTTTCTTATGCAAGTGCGACACAACATCAAAATTCACAGCCACCGTCGGGGACGTACTAAGACATCAAAATTCACGGCCACTGTCAGGGGAATAACTAAGACAACCAAATTCCACAAGTTAACATACCAGTTTCGCCCTTAGTAACAAGACTCCAGTTGAGAACCCTTGGCTCCACAGCAGTAAGAAGTTCAAGGAAAAATATTCCATTTGAAAGGTTTTTATCCTAAAACATATAGCACAAATTACCAATTTGTCAAATTGTGACATTCACAACTGATAACAATAGATGGTCAATCTCTAGTTGCTTACCTTAAAGCTCTCCATTTGAGATGTTCTGCCCGAGCTTTTCACTTTGTTGTTTGCCCAATAAAGAATGTCAGCATCTGTTATCTCCTTTCCTTGGGAGTGAGACCTCAAGTTCTTGAGGAGTTGGAGCATAGAAAACCTCATCAATTGCCATAGAAAAGCTGGGGGAAAAGGTGAACAAGTTTAGTTTTTTTTCTAGTGGTAAACAGTATAACAGAATTTAAAACAAGTAATTTCCAGGGAACAAAAGTATATATACTCCCGGAAAGTTGAAACAACAAACATGAAAGCTGGCAGGGAACTAGCAGAATGGAGATGTTTTCAGCAGAACTGCGGCAATAAAATGTGTGTCTCAACTGATGCAACACTCTCAACTATGCAACAACATGATGCAGGAGATTTGATCAAATGAATAACTCAATGGCAATAATCAAGCCTAGTCTCTAACCCACTACATATAATACATATTTATAGGCAACCCTATAACCCAAAATTATGAGTTACCAAAAACATGATGGAAGAATAATATTTAAATACTAAATTAATAAAATAAACCAAATAAATATCATATAATAAAAAGGTACTAAAACAAATTCCTAAACCCTAATATTCATTTTCAAGCTTCATCCATTCCTTTTTGTTCAACACCAAACCATCCAAAGGAAACAAGCTGGATTTCTGTACCAAAGCAACAAAAATAGGCAAATACAACAAAACCTAGTAAATTCGGGAGGAAAGTAATGCAGGGTTAAATGAAGCACACTGACCCAGTATGAGCTTCTTGTTTCCTTGCACAATATCATTACCAGCTACATTGACAAGGGAGAAGTTTACTTCCTTTCCAATCCTTATAACTTGGTTGCAATTTTCAACTTTTCTGAAAGGCATCTTAATAGGAGGTTTGCTTGCTTGCTTCCAGTTAACTGAGCCAGCGTAGACTTTGTCAAGAACTTCCAACAAAACCCATCTGCATGCAAGAGGGATAAACATAAATTAACATTTAAAGAGGATTGATATTGTTTCAAAGAAGTGGCGCAACCTCACCCATTTCTGACATCCTCAAACACATTATTGACATATGATTCGATTCCAAGACTGTTAATCCACAGTCGAAAACACCTTTCTTCCCTAGAAGTTTGAGCATCATCCGTCATCATCTCAGCAAAGGAAATGTTCTTGTTGTCCACAGAGAGGCCATTCCTGCAAAGGAAATTGCACACTAAATACTGACATCCACACCGACTTTCAATTCTCTCTCTCTTTTTTTTTTTTTTGTTTGGGGGGGGGGAGTAAGCTCAAGCATAAATAAAAAGGACAAAATTGGCGAACAAAATTTATTGAAACCCTATATATACATTATAGCCAGAATAGCCAGTAATATCAAGTTGCCAAAAGAACAGGTAGGCAGGAAAGTTTCCTCTGGGTAACTGGGGAACAAAATATTATTGCATCAATGTTAGATAACAGAAGACATGGTAAGTCTTGTTAACAGTTAACCATGCCACATGTATGAAATGCTGGGAACCTGCTTGGTTGTGTCAACACTGCAACATGCTCGTATCCACAACCAAAAATGATTTTTTTCTAAGCCAATGTCACAATGAGTAGCATTAATGATTTACCTATTCCTGAATAGTTTTTCACTAAGCCAGTGCTGTAAGTTTTAACAGATGACAAACATCAGAATCAAAGTTGGTACAGGCCCCATTTTTGTTTCATAGTTCTTGTGACTGACCAAATCGTTGTCATACACTGAATGATTTAAATCATTGAGTTATGAGAATGCTTTTTACAAAATAATTAGCGATACATCAAGCAAGTTAATAGTCAATTGTGCTCTACACGTGCCCCATAAGTTGTAAAAACAGAATATTAGTCTGACCTGTGCTGGAAAATTTGTGCAACAAATGCCAAATTTAGATTTGGTGAGCCCTCGACGATGTCCTTTGGACTGACATATCTTTTACAATCCAGTTTCTCCGCTTGCTCAAGAATCAAATTTGCTCTTTCAGTTGGATCTTTTGTATCCAATGTGGTGGTGGTTCCATGTTCCGGTGCAAGAACATTGAGCAAGTGAGCATAGGCCTCTCCATCCTGCACGTGTATAAGCCTATCATATCATCTTAGAGATAAAACACTACAACTTTGGAAGGTAGTTAAAACATGTTCAACTTAAAAAAAAAAAAAAGGCAAAAAAAACCCACTAGTTGCTAATATTATTGATGTATGCTTTGGCATCATAAAATTTGAAAGCTCAAAAATGATGCATCCAACTGTTAGGAGAGCAATAGGTTGTAAAAGAAGAGAGTAAGAGGGGATAAATTCTGTCAATAAAGATCATGTTGTCAGCGTAAGCCCTCATAGCCAGAAGGAGGAACTCGTAACAAAACTGCCTCAACTGTCAACTCTCCAAAGCAACCCTTTTTTTTGATGTTTTATGTTTCTATATGGTTTCCTAGAGCTTGGTCAGACATCTCCAAAGCAACCCTCACTTACATCTCAAGGATGGAGTTGTCCCTAAACATGTATCTTTATGGTACAATTTTTCTCTATTCACACTTGTGATCTGACTATAACAACTCTAATTACTCCACTATATTGAGCCCTGTTCCAATTATTTTGGATCGGCTAGATGGTTTTCAATTTAGAACAATGAACTACATCACCAACCCAGAACTTCCAACACTCCCTAAGGCTGGATATTCATGTCTCTCGTGCAGTTCATCCTCGGTGGTTTTCAATTTAGTATAGACTTCATCCTAAGTTAGTGTAAATGCCTGAACCAAAAAAATTTGGGGTAAACAAAAACAAGTCATCCCCACCAGTTAGTGCGCTCCACTTATCAGATGACTGAATCAGCTCGATTTAGTAATCTAGGCCATTGGATTTCAATGAAACTTATGAAGCATAAAAAACGTTTAAAAAAAACAAATCAAGAATGTAGAATGCTTACATTAAGTGGTTAAAAATTTTAATCAATTTAAGCTAACCAGAGTTAACCTTGATACAATAAATGTGATTGATAAGAAAAGCATGTTTCAATTCCTTTTATCCAAACTAAAAACGACATATTGTAGCAGCATCTTATTGAATTGCATTTGGGTGACCTTAAAAAAATGCACATCGTACATCCCACATGCATGTAGAACATCCTGGCCCTTAACCACATATATAGCTTACTAGGCTGTGTAGAAGTCTCAAGCAATTTTATCTAATAAAAGTTGTCACCCATGGAGATGGGCACTAAAACGCCATACAACTTTCTGGGTTCTGTTACATACCTACCTTATTCTGGGGAGAAGGGCTATTGGTGGTCAGGGAACGGTAAGTGGGAAGGAGGCACCTAAGGACCAAATGTTCTAGGAGCCAAACTTTAATTAAACAGATTCTGACTGGCAATATATATCCTCAACACCAAACCAAGCTGAATAAAATGCACCCTACAAGATTTAATTGAGAGCACTTTGCCGATATTGAACTGGTAACCTTTTTGCTTACCTTTAAATCAGATGAAAAGTTTGTAACCTGCTTCTTGTAGCCTGACTTTTTCAGATGAAAATTCATCCATTTCAATAGAACCTTTTCTGGCGGTAAGCCAATGAGCTCTTCCACATCCTGAAAGTTTAAGAACATCATGTGCCTGTGCTCTATTCCTTCATAAAGCACATAAAAAAGGAAAATCCATTTGACATCTTGTCACCTTACTGTCCTCCACCAATTCCACAAGTTGAGGAGTTTTCTTCAGATTGAGATCAGCCAACAGTTGTATCTGATGTTTCCAACATTTTAAAATGCAACAAAAAAGTTCCAACATTTGTAATCCATTTCATGGAACTAGTATACATTCAACAAGGAAGAACTAAAGAATTAGAATTACCTTAATTATTTGAGAGATCAACCCAAGTACCAGATGGGGCTGCAAATGTACAATAGTGTGAAACTTCAGCAACTTTTCATATGAGCAATGAAAAATGTGGAAGAGGATTCCAATGTATAGGAGCATTAGCTTGACTCACTCTTGCTTCAACTAAATCCTGTGTGCCAATATTAACCACAGTGCAGCCAATAGCCTTTGCAGAATTGAGGCAAAGCGTGTGGTTCTCATTCCTCTCCCACGGATTAAGTACCCCTTTGGTATTGATTGCTCGCTCGTCTATGGTACCAGGAACAGCCACATTGATGAGCTTACTGCATCATTCAGTCAAATGAATCAACAAACGAGAAACATCTACACAAACTGGCTAATAGAATTGTCAAGGATCCTTTATACATACCAGAGAAGAACACCATCCTTTGCAAGATCGAATAAAGCATTGGTAGATGCATCGAGTGGAAGATATTTCTTCAAGAATTGATCTTCCCCAAGGAAACTGTTAATATGAGCAACATAAGAGGCCTTCTCTGATTCGCTAATGGTGTGGCGAAGGGTGGTTGTTGAGGCCTTAAGGAATGAGGTAGATCTTTTGAAATCACCCAATCTTGGCATTGCTCGTGCTTGTAAGTTCAGGAATGCCTGGCCATCATAATACCCAATTAATATTTTGTTTCATTTCCATGACTTGAAAATAGATAATTCAACCATCCAACATCAAAAACATCGGTTAAACATACCAGGAATGATGAATAAGTGATGCACATTTTAGATCCTTATTAAGAATCCCATTAATCGCCATTATCTTTCCATTTCTTTATAAAAACATTTAATTTATCAAACATAAGAAATATTCACAGCAATGAATACCATAATTATGAACCATCAAAATTTACCAAAGGCTGTCCATCAACTAAATTCAATACTTACTCAGATTTTATTCAATTATCTTTTCTTCACATCCTAAAGAGTAAAGGCTATATAGTTCATCCACTAAACATGAAGAACACAGGGGATAAATAAAGAAATCAAAAGCAATTATGAAACCAAAATTCTCAAAAATTTACCCGAAGGAAAGATTCGAAATCAATTTCTTCGCTCATGTTCGAAGACAACGCACTCAAGATAGATTTAATCTCCTCCTCAGTTAACATTTCACTGAACACCTTTAATTTCGCCATTACTGGTGGCAAATCTCCCAGTGTTACACGGCCAGATTGATTCCTCGCTGAAAGGAACTACGGCCAAATGCAATATTTCAGATCACCCATATACTATTACTAGTGCATGTTTTTAACCCTCCAAATTTTTATTAATGAAATTGTAAACAGAAGTAAAACTTAAAATATAAAATACATACTTTGGACTTAAGGTTACGAAGCTCGACTTGAGTGAATTGGCTCTGAAGCCATGGATCAGAAACAATAACACCGGCAAAACCAGACATTTCTGTACTTGTTTTTCTGAATCCCCAATGAGAAGAACAAAACTAATAAACCACAAAACAAACACCACTTTCATAATTAAAATTGAGAACCTAACTACAAAAGTACAAGGATAAAATTTGATATTGCATCTCCAGAGATAATACTAGAAGGATCCATGGTAGTGTAATCATACGAAGTACCCGATTAAGAAGTGATGATATACATAGCTTAACATGCATGCATGTTCAATCTCGTCTTATTTCGAAACAAAATATTCCTCAAATAAATCTTACCAGTCTTAGATTCAGAATTTCTGTTCCACGATTTTTCTCAGTAATCAAACAGGAATGCTTGAAAAATATAATGTTATAAGAATTAAACAAATAATAAAATCCGACGATGACAAATGTATGCCCTTAGAGAGAGAAAGTGGACAAACCGTCTGAACTCAGAAAATCATGAGGAGATCGGAGAAGTTTTTTCTCATTCTTTTGCAAGTTTGGCGATTCTCAAGTTGTCTTTTCCCCAATGGCGAACAAACGAGAGAGAGAGAGAGAGAGAGAGAGAGAGAGAGAGAGAGAGAGAGAGAGAGAGAGAGACGAAGCGACAGTGTGTGTGAGAGAGAGAGACGGAGAGAGAAATGAAGACGGATGAGAGAGGAGAAAAAACCGTTTTGCCTTTCGGACCCGCGAATACTCGGGGAGCGACGCATAGAAGAGGAGGTCTATTGTAGTACCATGGAGCGTAGAGCATAATATTATCTACGATGCGTCAATTTACAACCATGCTTGTTAATTACATTAAGACCCACAAAGTTTGTTACTTAATGAGATGAAAACCATTTTGATTGAAAAATAATACTGCAACCCCCTACCCTCGATTTCTCAAATTACCCAGGCGAAGACCAACCCATGCTTTGGATGGTTTCGAAAAAAAAATTCAATCGAAAAAGGAAAAAGTGCGCTCTTCCTTCACCGAGATAAAAATTCGATGCCAAGATCAACTCATGGTGTAACTTTTATGGTCGACCACGATGAGCCAGGTCCAATGGCCCAATTTATGCTACTAGTCCGGTTTAAATTAAGAGTCCAACTTAAGAACGATTCAATAAGTCCAGCCCAAATAGGTCTACATCCGATTAAGCTCATCAACGTTCGACGAGCTACGTCACCAAAGNGTCCAATGGCCCAATTTATGCTACTAGTCCGGTTTAAATTAAGAGTCAAACTTAAGAACGATTCAATAAGTCCAGCCCAAATAGGTCTACATCCGATTAAGCTCATCAACGTTCGACGAGCTACGTCACCAAAGGAGCATGCAGAGTTATCCAAGAGTCTCATCCACAACACTTTGAAAAGAGTCAACCCTCATGTCATCCTTTAAACGAATCTTATGGAGAGCACCACAACTGTCTCATCAGTTGATAAGAGGTCGTCAANCGACACTTTGAAAAGAGTCAACCCCCGTGTCATCCTTTGAACGAATCTTATGGAGAGCACCACAACTGTCTCATCAGTTGATAAGAGGTCGTCAACTCCACCAGATTAGTCACTTAATTACTAATAACTCGTCACAATTTGTTATGAGGTGACTATAAATTGTAAATCCTGCGCAAAAGTTGGGGGGCAGATCACATTCAGTTGAGCACATCTCTCCTATCTCCCTTAACTTATAACTCACTGTTCTCGCTACACACTTGAAGTAATAAGATACTCCCGCGACCCTAATCATTCAAAGTGGACGTAGATCATATTAACTAAACCATTATAAATCCTTGTCTTACTTGTGTCTCTCTTAATTATTGTAGTTGTTACTGCTCATTTGACAGGTGGTGTATAAATCTAATTTGTGCATCATCAGATCACATCATNAATTGGGGGGCAGATCACATTCAGTTGAGCACATCTCTCCTATCTCTCTTAACTTATAACTCACTGTTCTCGCTACACACTTGAAGTAATAAGATACTCCCGCGACCCTAGTCATTCAAAGTGGACGTTGATCATATTAACTAAACCACTATAAATCCTTGTCTTACTTGTGTCTCTCTTAATTATTGTAGTTGTTATTGCTCATTTGACAGGTGGTGTATAAATCTAATTTGTGCATCATCAGATCACATCATTTTGCGATCGATGATATCCTTTTAAAAGAGTTATAATCTAACTTTAAAAATTATAATTTTTAATACAATATCAAACACGATATCTCAGTCTTTTCCCTCAATTTCAGACCCATATTTAGGATTGAGAACCCACATCACCATTGCGAGGTAGGCTAAAATCTAATGCCAGTTGTCGCCAAAATCTAACGCCACTTCCCATGACCTTAACTGACAGTGTGTGACATTATTTATTTATCCATCAAGATTTTTAAATATGTTACAACTAAGGGTAATTCGTATCTGAAGACATGATAAAAATTTAAAAAGGATGTTAGTGGCATTGAATGAGTTTATTTGAGATTGTTGGATAGATTTATTAAACCGTGTCTTATTTTATATTATAAATAGTTTAAACATAGCATCTATANAAGGGTGTTGGTGACATTGAATGAGTTTATTTGAGATTGTTGGATAAATTTATTAAACCGTGTCTTATTTTATATTATAAATAGTTTAAACATAGCATCTATATATGTGGTATAGCGACCTTGTAAAAGGGTTGCAATGTCATTTTTCTATGCAGAGGGGGTCTATCTGATCAAATAACAAACCTGAGGAACCGGACGCAACATNAGGATGTTAGTGGCATTGAATGAGTTTATTTGAGATTGTTGGATAGATTTATTAAACCGTGTCTTATTTTATATTATAAATAGTTTAAACATAGCATCTATATATGTGGTATAGCGACCTTTGTAAAAGGGTTGCAATGTCATTTTTCTATGCAGAGGGGGTCTATCTGATCAAATAACAAACCTGAGGGACTGGACGCAACATTAAACAAGTACCAACCACCAAGCCGTCTGAACACTTTTTTTTTTTTTTTTTTTTGTAATCCAAATAAAGTTGTTTTTCATGTGAAAACGTGTTCATCCGACATGGTTGGGCTTACTCTGTAACCCATGGGCGTAGGGTTGAACTTGGGAAACATTATACACTCGAATATCAGGAGTTTGACTCTTACTAATTTCTTTTAGTCTTAACTAATATCTGCCATTTATAGGTAATTGCAAATAACCGAAAATTATTCTTGTAGGAATGAGTTCAAAGTGAAATAAAGATAAAAAAATAAAAAAAAATTGGTTGGGCTCACACTCGTGTGTTGTCGGAACAAGAAAAAGGGTGGGCAACCACAAATCTCNTTTCTTTTAGTCTTAACTAATATCTGCCATTTATAGGTAATTGCAAATAACCGATAATTATTCTTGTAGGAATGAGTTCAAAGTGAAATAAAGATAAAAAAAAAAAAAAAAATTGGTTGGGCTCACACTCGTGTGTTGTCGGAACAAGAAAAAGGGTGGGCAACCACAAATCTCTGCTTGAAATGAGGTCGTGGGACCTATAATTTAAAAGCAAGGCCGGTGGGGTGGTCATCTTCACTTTTCTTCTTTCATTTACATTTTTTTTTGTTGGGAAATTTATTCTCGAATCCTTTAAAATTTGTTATTTAATCATTTGAATTATCTGATATTTAAAACATTATATACATACCTTAGATGCTTGTATGCACAGAACATTTAANTCGTGGGACCTATAATTTAAAAGCAAGGCCGGTGGGGGTGGTCATCTTCACTTTTCTTCTTTCATTTACATTTTTTTTTATTGGGAAATTTATTCTCGAATCCTTTAAAATTTGTTATTTAATCATTTGAATTATTTGATATTTAAAACATTATATACATACCTTAGATGCTTGTATGCACAGAACATTTAAATTCTTATCGTCAATATCTAATAGTATATCTATTAATAAATTACAATCAGATCCTCTAAAATTTGTAGACATATAACACTTATATCTCTCAAGTTTTACTTAATAAACGTAGACCTCTTATTAGTTAAAAAACTAATAGAATCTATTAAATGACTAAATTACTTCAATTAAAAATAGAAGATATTATATTCATTACAGTTTGACCTCTTATTTGTTTTTTAAATTTTATTGCAATAGACAGTATAATTGTATGCAAATAAATGTTAAATTAAGTTTTTTGATATATTTATACTGATTACTATTTTTTTTTTTTAAAATGGGATTTTGTTTGAGTTTTATGTCAATCTATGATATAATGAAATATGTAAATGTATTGATTAGGTTTATTTTTCATATTTTCATACTTGAAGATGAAAAATTTGACCCATGGTGAAAAGTTCATTGAGTCTNTGAATTAAGTTTTTTGATATATTTATACTGATTACTATTTTTTTTTAAAAAAAATGGGATTTTGTTTGAGTTTTATGTCAATCTATGATATAATGAAATATGTAAATGTATTGATTAGGTTTATTTTTCATATTTTCATGCTTGAAGATGAAAAATTTGACCCATGGTGAAAAGTTCATTGAGTCTAAGATGCTTTGCCACTCGTAACTTCTAAACATAGTTCATATTTTTGAGTCACTTACTAATTTAGGTATTAGAGAGTCAACCCTCGTAATTTTCCTCTAGTCTCCGACTTCTTTTTCAGGTGATTAAAGTCTAACTAACAAACTAACGCAGAGGTTATCTAAAATTTAGCATCAACAGTATTAATTATGATTTTTTTAAGAAAAAAATTTAATTTTTAAATTTAATTTTATTTCAATAAATGACATAATAGAATATAAATTTTAATTGTAAAANTACTTGAAGATGAAAAATTTGACCCATGGTGAAAAGTTCATTGAGTCTAAGATGCTTCGCCACTCGTAACTTCTAAACATAGTTCATATTTTTGAGTCACTTACTAATTTAGGTATTAGAGAGTCAACTCTCGTAATTTTCCTCTAGTCTCCGACTTCTTTTTCAGGTGATTAAAGTCTAACAAACTAACGCGGAGGTTATCTAAAATTTAGCATCAACAATATTAATTATGATTTTTTTAAGAAAAAAATTTAATTTTAAAATTTAATTTTATTTCAATAAATGACATAATAGAATATAAATTTTAATTGTAAAATTTAAAATATTGGATATACTATATTTAATTAGAGTATTTTTTTGTCTAAGTGTAATATTTTAAATTTGAGGAGTCTAAATAATAGACGTTTCAAATTTCAAGGGTTTAAATGTAATTTATTAACGGATATAGCAACGAACATTAGCCTCAAGAGTTGATGTGTTACATGCGTATAAACTTTAGAGAATTTGTGTGTAATATTTTAAATGTCCGGGTTTTAGATGTAATTTCCCCCTTTTTTATTTCCAAATATATTAATAAGAGGGTAATAATGACATTTCAAGTATTATTNTATCTAAGTGTAATATTTTAAATTTGAGGAGTCTAAATAATAGACGTTTCAAATTTCAAGAGTTTAAATATAATTTATTAACGGATATAACAACAAACATTAGCCTCAAGAGTTGATGTGTTACATGCGTGTTACATGCGTACAAACTTTAGAGAATTTGTGTGTAATATTTTAAATGTCCGGGTTTTAGATGTAATTTCCCCCTTTTTTTTATTTCCAAATATATTAATAAGAGGGTAATAATGACATTTCAAGTATTATTTGCCGACCTCACTTTTTCGTTGTCGGAAGAGTGCTTGTTATAATTTTTAATTTTTAGAGGATTTTCAACATTAGGACTTGGTGTTGACAAAAAGAATAAATCAAAATACCATCATGCCAGGTTAATGTAGCCAATTACTAACCTCATTTCAATCCTAATATTTTTAAATCTACAGTAAAACTATTACAAAAGTTATAACTCTGTTAAAAAAAAAAATTGAAACTCGAACTTAAAATTTACTCAAACACCCCTGACTACATTACTGAAAAAAAAAATATCATTTATTTGTATGCATATGAAAGATAGCGAGCCCCAAGGGGTGGACCAATCCTNAAGACTTGGTGCTGACAAAAAGAATAAATCAAAATATCATCATGCCAGGTTAATGTAGCCAATTACTAACCTCATTTCAATCCTAATATTTTTAAATCTACAGTAAAAATATTACAAAAGTTATAACTCTGTTAAAAAAAAAAAATTGAAACTCGAACTTAAAATTTACTCAAACACCCCTGACTACAATACTGAAAAAAAAAAATCATTTATTTGTATGCATATGAAAGATAGCGAGCCCCAAGGGGTGGACCAATCCTAGTCTGGGAAATTTCATCGAGCCATAATCAAGATATCAGTAGTAACTTTAGATCTAACTCTCAAATACGGTCCTTGTGTTACCAATACAGTAGTTCATTGAATACACATACCGGAGGAGAAAAGGTGTAGACGTAGATTAATATGCCTCATCTATAATATAAAATAGAAAAAACTTCAATAAGTCCATCCGACAGTTTCAAATAGACTCATCCACATCTCTCTCAAAATCATTCAGATTGCACCGTACCTCCAGGTACAGGTTACCCTAGTTTGCCATTAAAAGAGGCCAAAAGTGGCATGTCTCGTTACAAACAATGTTAGATTTCCAACACAAGGACAAGGTCACAAGAACAATGAGCAAAAAATGGTTATCAGGCCAAAATATATGAAACAACCAAAGCCNTCCACATCTCTCTCAAAATCATTCAGATTGCACCGTACCTCCAGGTACAAGTTACCCTAGTTTGCCATTAAAAGAGGCCAAAAGTGGCCTGTCTCGTTACAAACAATGTTAGATTTCCAACACAAGGACAAGGTCAGAAGAACAATGAGCAAAAAATGGTTATCAGGCCAAAATATATGAAACAACCAAAGCCATTTTAATTGAAACAGAAACTACCAACAACATAAGTGATGAAAAAAATGGCTAATAATCAAAGCAATGTGAATCAATGTACCATCCCAACATAAATTAAATGCTCAACAAATTCTCCCTTACAAGAACAAGACCAGTCCACCTGCGATTGTCAAAGCTAGGTGATTCAGAATGCCCAAGCTGATGATCCTGAAAGAACTCGATGGCTGTGGAGATGTTGCAGATGAGCCACTTCCACCTTTTGCCAATGGAGCATCAGCAACTGGGGCAATGTCAGGAGATGGCGTTGGAGCTGGGGTTGGAGGTATATCGGTGCCAAAGATTGCTACCGGAAGAAGAACCTTATCAACCTGATAAACTGCAACGGGATCAGTCGAATGCACACTACTACTTACTTTCGTGTTTGTCCATCCTGTACCGACGCGCACAGTCCCAAACACATCAGTAAAATTCAAAGTGTATTGACCACCAGCAAGTGTGGTAACAGGGCTCCTTTGGCTGAGGTTTGTGAAGTCTGCTAGTGTGTAGTACTGTGGCAAGGCATGGAAAAGGCAGAGTGACTTGAGCTGGTCTGCAGTGAGGTTGGAGAGAGTGGGATTTTTAAGTGACGAAAATGCATCATCTTTTGGTACAAAGATGGTGATTCCTTCCTCAGTATTGTTGGCCTGGTTTTGGAAGGTCTCAATGACTTTGGTCGACTCAAGGTACTTAAGGAAGGTCTCAAATGGGCCAGCGACAGTGAGCAACTCTGTGAGGTTTACGAAATCTGGTGCAGGTGCTGGAGCCGGGGTTGAAGTTAGAGCTGGAGATCCAACAGTTTTTGCAAATGCTGATGTAGAACACAGAAGCACTAGTGTGCTGCTGAGCATAAAAAACATGATGTTATAATTCATTTTCATTTTCACTTTCACCAAGTTGTGTTGCTTTATTTACCAAACAGACACTCCAAATTCCTGCAAGAGTTATAATCCATGAGTGAGTAAACAATATGAAATCAAGAATAACTCTTGAGTTAGCATTTTCTACAATTTTTTTTTTAAATAATCCAGAATCCCCACCAACGGAGCTCATTTGGACCCATGGCCGGTAGTCAACCTGGGCCACGCGCAAAGTCTCCTGTCCACGCACAACCCAAGGGTTAAATCTAGGAGAGAAGGCCCGAGCATTTTCAACCCGTGGAGTATGAACCCTTGACCAATGCCAACTTAAGGCATCTATCAAGTGGTTGCCTACCACTTGAGGTAACCCCTCGGGGTTGCATTTTCTACAATTTGGCTCTAGATTGAAATCCATTTTCCAAATCCAGATCAAAACCAGCCTGACTAGTTAGATCCCAGCTTGTCAAACCCTAACCCCAATAGCGAAACTTAAACAGAACTACAATTTGAGTAGAGAAAACTCAAAATTTGCTTTAGATCTACAACCTGTTTCAAAAAATCAGGCAAAATTTTTGAATATTAACCAATTTTTCACAGCACAAAATAGATTTTTTTTTCAGAAATCCACACTGAACTTCTGAAGTGCCCAGAAATCAATAAGCACAAGAATTTTCTTTTACCAGCACATCTGAACTATAATCATCAGCTAAACAGAAAGAAACTTGCGAAATTGAACTGTATCTGAGTCCATGTGGCCCCAGTGAAAATATTCATGCTATGAGAATATCAGAATGTGTATAATTTCTAGTTCAAAGCCCTTTTTCAAGTTGAACCCAAGTGATTAAATGTTCACAAGATCTGAATGCAGCAACAGAACTTAGATCAAAACCCCATCTAGTTGAGCATTTTATGGCCATCTAAATGGCAACTAAGAGCACCAGAAAAGTACAACAACAATGTTTGTACATAAACAAAGAACAAAGAAACAGATCTGGAACAACCCAGAGTAAAACAGGAAAACAAACACAAGAAAAAAGAAAAAAGGCTCATTGAAATAGAAGATCAAGGAACAACAAATCCTTGAAATCCTCAATGCAGGATCTAAGAACATCAAGTTAAAAGCACAGGAAATGACATGAGAATAGAATCATGGGGAAAAACTGACCTGGCCCAGTGGAAAAGAGAGAGAAAAAGATGGTGTGGTTGATACTGCAGAGAAGACTGAAATGAGTGAGACTATATAGATAATGGGTTTATGAGGGAGATAAACTAACTGTTAAGTGCAGGTGGCAGCTGGTGAAAGAAAAAAACAAAGAAGAGTGGGTACAAATTAGAACGAGGAGAGGATTTAGTGGTAAGATTACATGGCCTCGTTTGTAAATTTTTTTTTTTAAGATTAATGACACTTCGTCCCCCAAAAGATTTCTAATTTTTTCACGTAACTTCTTGAAAGTCAAATTTCTCACCACCACATTTCAAAGTCTGAAAAGTATAGCATCGTGCGCAAACAGTAGATGCCACTTGGTTTAATTTCAGGTCACATTTTTGTATGATGTTGGATCTCAACACAAAAAATGAGACGTGTTTTTTCTTTTGCTATGAGAAAAAAGGTTGTGAAGGGGCAATCGGTGTGGTAATTTTGTTTGTGCATGACCATAACAACCCGACCCCGCCAGAGTAGTTTCCTAGAGGGGCTAAGACGGTGGGCTCTATAAGCACCCCCTAAGAACAACTGGAGTTATAACCTCAACTTCATCAAGCTGCTAAAAGGAAGTCAACAATTTATTTTTCACAAATCGAACCGAGGTGATTGTTAGCAAATGACTCTTGCAGAGCGCTATTTTGTCACTAGACCACCGAAGATGTTGAGGGTATAATGTGAAATTTATAATCTTTTAGAGGGTCAAGAAAAAGTTCTTTAATCTTTTAAGGAAAAAAATCATATGTCCTTTTTGTGGGTAATCATCATAACATTTTCCTAACAATAACTTGATTTTGAAAAATTCTCTCAACTTCCATTTGTTAGAATTTAATCCTTAAAGTATGTTGAAACATTCATGTTTGTTTAGATTTATATTGAAATAGAAATGAAAAAAACCCACGACAATTATGTCAATTTGTCCCCTAATCTTCTAATTTTCTTTCCTTCTCAATTGTTGGAGCAAGATAATTGGACTAAAAAAAAACTAATTTTCTCCGATTTGTGTAGTTTTAAGAACTAAATTCAGATAATTAAAACTTGAGTTATCAAATTAAAAGTCATGTCAAAGTACAATAGAGAAACGGTATTTACCTTTTTCCTTTTTTGGTTTCTGTGTGTGTTTGGCGGGGCGTGGGAAGGGGGTGTTAACACTCCATAAATAACAAAATGAATGAAGAAACATCTTATTCATTAAAATTTAAAGTTATTTATCACTGTATTAAAAAGAATTAAAGGGAAGAAATAATGGATGATATCTAAATCCTTTGTTTGAGATTTTCTTGGAAATCAAATAACTTCATAGGAAAGGGTCCTTGTTGGGTGGGCTTTCCATGCCAACCTCCCAACTAATTAGTTATTTTTTCCCCCCTTCATGTATCTCCTTGTGCCTCCAACCTTCCACTCTATCCTACCAATATTAGCACTTTATCATTACTTTATTTCTTTGCCTCAAAGAGATCACCATCACATTTTAATTTGCTCATTCCTTGCACATTTTGTCTTGCTAATGTAAACCAGTTAGCATTGATTGCTTCAATACATTCAATTTTCAGATGTCATGTCAATATTTATAATCTCGTGACAATGTTGTTGGCACGATCTTGATACATTTTAAATTGAACGAACTAAGTTGAACATCAAATTATTCAATTTTCGAGCCATTTATTAAATTAACTTCAAGATTAAACTCGAATTTGATTCATGTAATAAATAAGCAACGTTAAACAAGTACTTCAAACTATTCTTGAAACATTAGCTTTCAGTGTTAGAATTAGAATCACTAGTCACTCCTAATACATTGTCATTAATGGTACCGACTAATTACTCACGAGAGTGCAGTGCAAGACCTTGGGCATTTACTCACTACATGATATGTATCTGCAATATCTGCTCCTACTCAAGTAATTAGTAGGAATAGTAACTACAGAAACCTACCATAAATGAGAGTCTAAGTAGGTTACAGCTACATGAATCCGCACAAATAACTCAATAGGGTGAAATTTTCTAAGGAACAACTTGTAAACTCTAACCTTTTGAATATGATTTATGGTAGTAACTTCGAGATCTATATGATACATATGATTTGCAGGTGTCTGGATTTACTCTACAGTGGTGTGTTCAATTTCCACTTGCATTGAATAGGTCATTAACCCCAATGGGTACGTAAAGTAGTAATATAAACAAATCGTCAATTTAGATGATCTGAGTTCGAATCTTAACAATTTTTTGAGATCAAGTTATGGGAAATGTATCTCTCATAAATACTCTAGTCCTGACGTGAATGATCTGTTTTTGATTGAACCAGAGAAAAAAAATTAATCAAAATATGTGTAAATTAATTCCAACACCGTAACCATTGAAAAAAACAGAGTTCATTGATCATAAAAAAAAAGTACAGCCACATTGGAGATTACAATGAACAGAGAGATACCCAAAAAAAAAAAAAAAGTAGACGAGAATTAGAGGTATGATCATGTGACAACTTTTTGTCCTAGTCAAACAGCTAAGATGGAGCAAAGTTAAAAAGTATTCTATTTGGCTTAATATAGGAAAATTCTATTTAGCCCGGTTTGATTCAATCATTAAATGGAAACTTCCAATTACTTATTAAAAAATCCTGCTGCACAATGCACGAGAGGTTGAGAGGACCATCATATATCTCTATGTAGTTTTATTTCGTATATAAAAAAAATTATTTATTTTTATAATTCAAATTTGCAACGTTGATATTAAATTAAAGTAATTTCAACATTACTTCAATTATAACTATTAGTTGTTTAGTCTTTTCGGGATATCGATCGAAGTGATTTGAGTCATTAATAAAAAGCCGATAGTCAATATCTAGAGACACACGTCTCATGGGTCGATGTGAGAGAGAGAGAGAGAGTTGGTCCAACAACAAGAAGCATCGGCTGTTGGGAAGTTGCTGTCACCAGAAGTCAAGTCTTGGAAAACATGAGCATCCTTTTCCTCCACCGACACACCACCCCCTCTCAATCTACGCCTTCAAATTCATGGCGGCCAAAGCGCCTCATTTAGTTTCCCCAAAATTGTAGGAGTGATTTGGTAAACTAGCAATAACTTGCACTTAAAATATATTTTTACCGTTACTAAATATACGTAATTTAAGATTTTTACACATAAATTAAAAAAATTATTAAATAACTCTAATATGAATAAAAAAATAATTACACAAGACTATAATACATTTATTCAATACGTATTGGGAAAGAAAGAAATATAAAAAATACTTAGCCTCCACCTAATCTAATGCATTGAAAAGTTAAGGATAAATTTGGAAGAAAAAATATTAATTATGCTTTGATTTTATAAAATGACAGATATTATGAAATAAAAAAAATTATATAAAACAATAGATATTTAGGAACGGAGGGAGTAACTTGATTGATTCACTATTGTCATTAATTTAATTGTGGGTCGTACTATTTATTAAGTCTTATTATCTATTCAATTATTGTGATTGATCAAATAGTATTTTAAATTCATGTAATATTTTCCTTCGTAAATAATAATGTTCCATTGACCAAAATTGGTGACAAAAAAAAATGATCAAATGACATTACACTTGACATGGAAGTCTGATTTGGGAAAAATAAATCTAAACCTGAAATCAGAGAAACAAATAGCTTGAGTGCAAATTTCAAAATCGAAAAACATGGTGCTTTTTCGATCTGTCGATAGGCAGAACAAAATCAAGGTCATCTCCAAATTCTTTGATACTATCGACATCGACTAGAAGATGGATAGTGAGAGTTCTTTCACAACGTTCCTTCGCGTCCAAGAACACCGATTCAGTATTGAATTAATTTCAGAATTCAGATACATCTATTCTTCTCTTTTTTATAGTTCAAGGTATTTTTGTTAGTTTTTTTTCTTTTATTCCGTCAAAAATCATCATATTGACGTTAACGGACTGAGTAGTAAAAAAAACTAACAAAAGTGGCATATTAAAACATTTCTAATACACTGAGAGTATAATATGAGAAATCTAATATTTGAAGTTGCAAAGTACAATTCTTAAAACCTTCAGCGTTCAAAGTGCAATTTGCCATTTTCTCTGATCAGCATACCAAACACCAACCAATCAATCCTCAAAAATTGCTAATCTGTGGATTAAAGATGTGAGTGGTTGCTTACCTAAATCAGGGATTGGAGATTAGTCCATTGTCACAGGAAGGCGCACATGGAATTTTTTGAACTTTGTAGTCGAGTTTGATTTAATGAAGTTAATTAACTAAACCCTTCATTTAATTTAATATTGACTTTGGGTGGTGGGCTTTGACTCCTTGCAAGAAGGGTGACATATCATTTTCTCACATGGGACTCCTTAAAAAAAACTAATTTTCTGTATTTTTAATAAAAATTCATCCATTTGTTTCTTTTTAAGCCCCATCACTGAATAGAGGTTTCACCTCCATTGGGCTGCCTCCTCTTTTTCAAGCCTTTAGATGTTATTATGGCCCCGACTACACCGTCCTCGACTTTTTTTAAATTCTACTATGGAACTTTTTCACCAGCTCTTTCTTTTAAGAAACATCTCAAAATCGAACGGACAACAAGAATAAGAATCAATCTATAAAACATATGTTCCCATGCAATTGGCATTCTAGAAGCAAAGCTTCCTGGCTGCCTGCCTCGTGTGAAAATGTTCATTTTTCATGATCTCCAGGCTCGTTCTTTACTAGGCATCTAGGCGAACCCGCAGTGGATAGTAGTTGGGGTTGCAAGTAATAAGGTTGGCTTTGGAGTTGTCTTTTTTNGTCCTTTCCACTAGCTCGTTCTTTACTAGGCATCTAGGCGAACCCGCAGTGGATAGTAGTTGGGGTTGCAAGTAATAAGGTTGGCTTTGGAGTTGTCTTTTTTTTTTTTTTCTTTTTCCCGGGATTTTGGTTGAGAACTGCCCTGCTCGCGTGCCTTTAGATTCATGGTTGCTATATAAATTTGAAATGTGTTTAATCTCCCGCAAACCATGTACATTTAGACGGTAAGAACATCTTTTGTAAAACTTGAACTTAAACAATCAAAGTATTAACTANCTCTTTTTCCCGGGATTTTGGTTGAGAACTGCCCTGCTCGCGTGCCTTTAGATTCATGGTTGCTATATAAATTTGAAATGTGTTTAATCTCCCGCAAACCATGTACATTCAGACGGTAAGAACATCTTTTGTAAAACTTGAACTTAAACAATCAAAGTATTAACTAGTGATACGCTGTCATCCTGCATTTAATCCTCGTGTGTTAAAATTGTGAATTCCAAACACTATTCCGAACAAAATAAAAACCCATGTCTTGAAAGATTAGCCTTGCCAAAAAGTTTGAAAACACCGAAATAATATATTGCATAAATAATTTTCAACAACTTCATTTTGTAATAAGTAGAAATTATTTTACAAAACACAATCAGCGAGAGAAAGCATATCATAAACACCAAATACTCCTTCGTAAGACACGTAAGGTTTTTCTTCATTCAAAGCACAAGTCAAAACAAGTTNAACATTTTTTTGCAGGCTTTAACCTGTTAATTATGCTCAGCCAGCTGATAAACGAATGAGGAACACAGCCTGCCATTCAATTGTCACTAAAAGAGGATCAGTCTGGATTGAATCTGGTTTCTGATTTCTGGAAGTAATAAATATAACTCTGANTAGTGATACGCTGTCATCCTGCATTTAATCCTCGTGTGTTAAAATTGTGAATTCCGAACACTATTCCGAACAAAATAAAAACCCATGTCTTGAAAGATTAGCCTTGCCAAAAAGTTTGAAAACACCGAAATAATATATTGCATAAATAATTTTCAACAACTTCATTTTGTAATAAGTAGAAATTATTTTACAAAACACAATCAGCGAGAGAAAGCATATCATAAACACCAAATACTCCTTCGTAAGACACGTAAGGTTTTTCTTCATTCAAAGCACAAGTCAANGTAATAAGTAGAAATTGTTTTACAAAACACAATCCGCGAGAGAAAGCATATCATAAACACCAAATACTCCTTCGTAAGACACGTAAGGTTTTTCTTCATTCAAAGCACAANGCAATAAGTAGAAATTATTTTACAAAACACAATCAGCGAGAGAAAGCATATCATAAACACCAAATACTCCTTCGTAAGACACGTAAGGTTTTTCTTCATTCAAAGCACAAGTCAAAACAAGTTACATTTAGCTCTAATCCAACCTGAAAACCAAATAAAAAAAAAAATTCAACTTGGTCTCTTATTATTGTTTCGCTTTGCTCGTAGCTACACCATGTTTGGTAGCTTCATTATTTTCTACCGCAACAGAATGTTTGACTTACATGTGTTGAGTATATAGCTTTTTGAAAATTAGTTGAAAGCAACATCTTCTGATTTTAGGTAATAAAAGTAAATCACAGCCGCTTCAATTAACTTGGCCATCAGAAACCTGAAGTCTGCCATTTGATCTCACACCAGATGGTGGACTCCCTCCTTAACTAGTTTTTATTTCACCACCACTGTTTTTTCTTTGATCAATTGAAGAGTAACCGTAACATCTATAATTCACAGCTTCTCACTTACAGAAGCATTGAGCACTAAACCATCTATGATTCCAACAGACACATAAAATTGGAATACCATGTCAATAAATTTAATTTCAGACCCAGCACCAGCATGAGAGAGAGAGAGAGAGAGAGAGAGAGAGAGACTGCAAAACAAGTTTGAAATTTAAAGTTAATTTCCCCTATGTAGGGGCCAGTATGTGCACCACCAGGGCCCTTGTTATCAGTGCCAAGGTTATGGGTCCTGATAATTCCCCAAGCTTTCCATTGTCTGTTAACTTTTACCATCATTGTTTTTGACCAAGCTTTATATCAGGATTTGATGACTTAAGTCAAAGTTATCCAGTGTAATTGCAATGACATTTTTTTAGCATTAGCAAGTACAATGCTTCAAGAAGAAGAGTAAGTAAAAAGTAGCCATCAACGAACAAAGTATCATGGAAACAAAGAGAAATGAATGATTAACGTATGTCTCAGCCCACTTTAGCATCAGAATAGCTAATTTTTACCTTTTTAAGAAACATTATTTCAAACAAAACGAAACCATTACCGCCACTGTTTTCTAGCATTTTAGCAATGTTACTAACTAAATTAAAAAAAAAAACATTTTTTTGCAGGCTTTAACCTGTAAATTATGCTCAGCCAGCTGATAAACGAATGAGGAACACAGCCTGCCATTCAATTGTCACTAAAAGAGAATCAGTCTGGATTGAATCTGGTTTCTGATTTCTGGAAGTAATAAATATAACTCTGANTTTTCTTCATTCAAAGCACAAGTCAAAACAAGTTACATTTAGCTCTAATCTAACCTGAAAACCAAATAAAAAAAAAAATTCAACTTGGTCTCTTATTATTGTTTCGCTTTGCTCGTAGCTACACCATGTTTGGTAGCTTCATTATTTTCTACCGCAACAGAATGTTTGACTTACATGTGTTGAGTATATAGCTTTTTGAAAATTAGTTCAAAGCAACATCTTCTGATTTTAGGTAATAAAAGTAAATCACAGCCGCTTCAATTAACTTGGCCATCAGAAACCTGAAGTCTGCCATTTGATCTCACACCAGATGGTGGACTCCCTCCTTAACTATTTTTTATTGCACCACCACTGTTTTTTCTTTGATCAATTCAAGAGTAACTGTAACATCAATAATTCACAGCTTCTCACTTACAGAAGCATTGAGCACTAAACCATCTATGATTCCAACAGACACATAAAATTGGAATACCATGTCAATAAATTTAATTTCAGACCCAGCACCAGNAGTTTTTATTTCACCACCACTGTTTTTTCTTTGATCAATTGAAGAGTAACCGTAACATCTATAATTCACAGCTTCTCACTTACAGAAGCATTGAGCACTAAACCATCTATGATTCCAACAGACACATAAAATTGGAATACCATGTCAATAAATTTAATTTCAGACCCAGCACCAGCATGAGAGAGAGAGAGAGAGAGAGAGAGACTGCAAAACAAGTTTGAAATTTAAAGTTAATTTCCCCTATGTAGGGGCCAGTATGTGCACCACCAGGGCCCTTGTTATCAGTGCCAAGGTTATGGGTCCTGATAATTCCCCAAGCTTTCCATTGTCTGTTAACTTTTACCATCATTGTTTTTGACCAAGCTTTATATCAGGATGTGATGACTTAAGTCAAAGTTATCCAGTGTAATTGCAATGACATTTTTTTAGCATTAGCAAGTACAATGCTTCAAGAAGAAGAGTAAGTAAAAAGTAGCCATCAACGAACAAAGTATCATGGAAACAAAGAGAAATGAATGATTAAAGTATGTCTCCGCCCACTTTAGCATCAGAATAGCTAATTTTTACCTTTTTAAGAAACATTATTTCAAACAAAACGAAACCATTACCGCCACTGTTTTCTAGCATTTTAGCAATGTTACTAACTAAATTAAAAAAAAAAACATTTTTTTGCAGGCTTTAACCTGTAAATTATGCTCAGCCAGCTGATAAACGAATGAGGAACACAGCCTGCCATTCAATTGTCACTAAAAGAGAATCAGTCTGGATTGAATCTGGTTTCTGATTTCTGGAAGTAATAAATATAACTCTGAAAGAAAAACAAAATATATTAGTTTTCGTACAGGTGCATAACTTAACGAAGAGATTTCCTAACGTACTGAAGTGGAGAAATTCTCTATTAAGGGTTGGCCCAATCTTTCCGGATGTCAAAGGTGTAGTTGATCTCCAAGTGGCACTTGTTATCATCATCAACAAACTGAAAACGGGAAGAAAAAAAAAATGAAGATGCACATTAATATGCTCATATATTACCATCGTAGAGAAGGAGTTCAAGTAGTTAATCAGTTAGAGCAAACAACGAAAGAGCTGGAAATGTGATGGTAAACACAGGCCAGTTTTCCAATATGGTTTTATACATTTTCCAGTGTTGAATCAGTAAGCGTCTGAGGAAGTGTTGTGATTTAGAATAACTTGCAGAAACAATAAGTTATTGCCCTCGAGAATGATTGATAATTAAAATCGAACAAATCAATCTCATATTGCATACATATTTTATTTGCTAATATTAAATTGCCGTGTATATAATGGTTGCACTACTTTCTTGAACATAATTACATTGTTAGTATTTCACTAATCAAATTTAAAGTAAAGAAAGGTTTTTTTTATCAGATCTTGCAAATCTCAGGATTCAAATGAAAATTGATCCGCCAATAAATTTTGCATGCACAATTGCAAAATTGATCCACACTTGCATGCATTTTATGTAGCAGATATAAACTATTTTACAGGAGACACTTTAGCCTGAACATTCAGATATAAACTATTTTACAGCAGACACTTTAGCCTGAACATTACCCACTACACAAAATCAGTTTGAGCGTTGCAATTTGTGGTCAACACTGCACTGGATCTGATAGGTTTTTATGGATCCAAGTTGAATTTGAAAGCAAACTCTAGAACAAATGATCACTAATTATTCTTCAACTCTTCAGAATTATGTTCTCGTCTTCTATGATCATTACAAGAGTG